AACTCACGTACATCAATTTAGAAGCTGTTTCTGGATGCGTAATGAGGAATAATGTGGCTCACAAGATGATGTGGAACAGATTGAACCTCTACTCAGCAGAACCCACCTGATTTCAGGTAACTATTCAGCGTGTCATTAAGATCTGGTACCGGCAGGCTCGGTAGTTCATTTTGCTTCGAAAACGTCGCCATTCTTTAAAAAATATCCATTTACTTCGAACAAAATTCAAGGTATTATAGATTAATACATTCAGTGAGATGTGTACGTGTAGTCTGGAATGCAGCAATGAAGCTGGACAAATGAAAACTCTCATGGCAGGCATAAAACTTCATGCGAAATTTTTCTATGACCACCATATTAATCCAATGGTCCCAATCCACTTTTGAAAAGATCCGCTTCTCGCTCTAGTAAGTTTTTCGCTGATATCAACGTAGAGCTTTCGCGGGCATTACCGTGCGAACGGCAACATTTTGGCAGTAGTTTCTAACTGTGACTGAATTTACCATGTTTCTATTAGAATTCAAAACTCCATCCAATAAGAAAATTAGAGTCTATAAAGATAAAAGTCGGAAAATTGATCAGTTTGTGATATTTTCAGTGGAATAATTGAAAGAAACTACGATCGATGGCGGCAAAGAGCAGTAGAATTAGTGAATTGTTTAAAAGCCTGCCACAATTGTGATAACCAAGGTTAGAAACAAGAACACCGGGTAGTTTTTTTTCTGAACTTTTAGATAAACACACTCCGTTAAATAAATGTTAAAATTATTACGTAAGTAATATTCAAAACCCGGATTCACATACGAGAAAGGCCTTAGTGATTGGAACATTCTAAGAGACTCGTTCGAGTTGGATTAAAAATAGGCAGAAATCAAGTGCTTCAGTGGCCTGATTAGATCGACAGCTTTGATGTCAGCAATATCAGTTGCTCGTAAAGAACTCAATGCCCTCTATCCTGGGCCCGAAATGAAATGTTTAAGAAATCCGTCAACCGTTGAAAAGCACAAGATCGAGACCGTGCTTATCCACAGAACGTCATATTATCAAGAACAGCTTCCTCGTGATTGAAGTTCTTTATCAGACACCGTTTATCATGTTCATATTGCTGATGAACTAAACAAATATATGGCCCACTCATTGTCACCGTAATCACCACGCAATCATCATCGGAATGTTTTTCCTAAAACCAAAGTAAAGCATTGACACACAACGAAAGAAGGCATTGTAAATACGAAACGTGAGAGAAATGAAAACAAACAGATTAAAAACAAAAGCAAAACGTTACCCATATATGGACAGTGATTAAGAGATTAATGGAACTTAGTAGTGAGTTGATATGAACTGATAAAGACATCCAGTCCATTAACGTTTAAAAGTTCGATGATGTCTCACCAATTTGAAAATTGAGGCCATTCAGCCGAAAACAAAGTGTTATGGTCAGAGAATTACGTCCGATAAGGAGAAGGAGCATCGGTCGATATCTTTGCAATGATTGCCCCGCTGTTCGACCTCCATTCCCCAATAAACGGAACCAATCTGCTGAACAACATCGATCAACCACACGCTCTGGTCAATGATTATTCCTTAGTCTCTCAAACATGAAGTACAACCAAATGAACGGGTAAGTCTGGCTAGTTGAAGACATCAGCACAGCATCTGGATGGTAGCTCCTCCGGACAATTAATTTTTTTCTATACTTGACATAGAGTGTATCTTACTTGAGCTTTTTTTCTTCAAAATACAACATTTCCATGACGTAGCTGGTTTTTCCTTAACAGGTGGAAATTTCTTCGTTAACGGAGCAGAAGAAAAATTGAAATATCCACAAACTTATAGAACAGGACAACTTATAGGGTAAAAAATGGTGGTCTACTGCTGGAAAGTTGTGTAGAATTCTTACAAAATCCACTTTCAATGTTATATTCGTTTAGTATTATAAACTTTAAAAAACTGAAAACAAAGTTATAAATTAGAGATCTTCCACTCAAGCATGACAGCCGCAAATACCGACAATAGAGATGGAAACACAGCGATGCGTTTTTGAATAAAATCACACGTTTTTAACTGTTTACGCGTTCAAAATGCGAAAGTTGCAAGGTGTGTGAGATAAGTTTCTGGGTTCCAGAAAATTAGAATTTCGTCTCAGTTTAACGCCAAAACTGCTGAGGTGAAGGAGAAAACAGGAACTAGGGTTTTCTTCGCGAGTAATGAGGTCAGTGTGAACTGGAAGCGTCTAGTTATCGCTGAAGAAAAGTACAGAAGGTTATCCGAACATAGAAAATAGCGTCACTTCCTCACTAAACAGTCATCAAATTGTACTTACTGTGTTGAATAATGTTGACGAAATAATCAGAAGAGAAGTACGTGATTCTGAAGGTCGGTGTTATGCTACATCAACTGTAGTTAGAATGAGAACTCATTTCTGAAAGAAGACCGATCTATGCGACCTGCAGTTTCTTTTTCAGTTGCTTGAATTCGTCGACACATATCAAAGAGTCATATCTTAAGTCTCTTAGGTCACTTTGAACACTGATAACACGACATAACCAGAATGTAAACAAAGTGCTGACCATACGCAGAGAATCGAGTTAAAATTGAACACTTTTCCATGGCATTGTCAACTTCTAACATCAATTTGAAAAGTGTGACAAACAATCTTCAAATGAATTCCAAGTCTTCCCGGAGTCCCTTGGTGATATTCGGTCGGAGGCTGAAAAGCGGAGAACTCGTTTGTGATTCAAACACTGCAGTATTATTTTATTTCTTTGTTTACGTACAAGCTGACGTTTCGGAGGATTTCGGATTTCGGATTTAACACTGCAGTGGTAGTTCTCTCGATAATAAACGATAAATTGCCCGTCGATAGACGACACTTGTACTATTGACAGCATCGTAGAGCTATAGAAGTGGTTTCACTTTATTCACATAGTGGTATAATATTTCTATTGCATGCTACATTTCTCGCCATAGTTGGCCTACCAAAGTCACTGCTGTTAGGTGTCAGAAAGCCTTTGCTACTTACGTCGAATGCGTTTCCGTATTTCTTACATCAGCCTATGTCATGCAATGAAAACATTACATTGTCATGCCTGGGATTGAGAAAACAATGAACTGTTTGTAAGAAATTGAACTTTGTGTGTCCTAAATAAAGGGCAATACTGCTGGCGTAATAGCGCCTAAGAATTTTCGATAATTAGAAGAGACACCAAGTTAATAACTTATCATAATTGTAGAGGAGTTTCTTTTTATTTACTGCCCATCATTTTTCATGGCAGGGTATTATGTGAAATACAACCACACTGATGCTTAGATATTTGCCAAAATCAACGTCCAGAGCAGAATCGAACCAGGAAGTACCTTTCCAAGGAGCTCACGTATTACCCACTCCACCACAGAGGCCCTCACCTAGTATTCCTCTTGACCAGTTTTTAAACCCTAACGTTGCGATCAGCAATCGCTCGTCATCTGGACTGCAACAACAATTCTTATATATTGGAGGCAAGGATCGATCAGAACGTTGAAAATTTGGCAACGTCAAGAGGTGGGTGTCACTGGTAATCGCCCTATGGATCTCTTAAAAAAATTCTAGCAGAGTCGCCCAAACTGAATAATATAGAGTGTCTATTTTCTTGTGGGGTTGTCGTCAATCTCTTTTTCCTTCGTCGATCTCTTTTTTCTTTCCTCACGTCCTTTCTCAGTCCGCCCTATGTTTATGGTAGTTGACGATGACATCAACTTCGATCTCAATCGAACTGTCATCGAAAGTGATAATGAAGAAGTTAAAAATCAAGAGGATGTTATAGAACTTCCAGTTTTTTTTTACTACTATTTTTCCATTTTGCGCACGCGATATGATTGCACCCATAAACCCCTGGTATATACTGGTTCTCTTCCGTCCATATTTGGAAATGTGTCACAAATGAGTAAAATTAATGACAAAGGATAAAACTCTCGGCGTTGATCAATCTCTGTGGGTTGCGCCATGCATTAGAGTTCATTAAGCACCGTTGCAGGTGATTGAATGCATACCTAGCCTTTGCGATGACTCGCGATGGCTTGCCGATGTATCGAGCCAATACTGCTATCCTCCTAGACAAGTATGGTACCAACTTGCCGACCCCGATGTGATGGAAGGTTTAGTGGACCTAGGATGCGGGAATCGATCCTATGTGTATTGTAGCGCTCCTCCGACCACTGTGCTACACGTACCCAATGAAAGTACGATAATAGAGTGAATAATGTACGTTTTCGTCAAGCATGCAGTTTTTCAATGTTGCGTGCATTGCCGACTGACTTTAAAACATGTAGTAAAGTTCAAATCTAACTTCTTTGCGAAGCCTTAGAAGTTCGATCTACAAAATATTTTTCTGCTTTATTAAATCAACTTTCTCACTACCTCGTCTTGAACAATGGGTGTAATTCTTTGATATTTCCCAGCTTACACGACACTGTTATGTAACCAGCATGTTTTACACTGTTGAGCTCACACGGCGTTGAAGAACAACTTTTATTCGGCTAAGGTCTCGAATTCTTCATCTTCATCAAAGCCGATGGTCCACAGTTGTTCATCTTCTCGATCTCGCGTCTTCCTCTTCTTATTTAGTTGGACCTTCCTTAGTGGAGCGTCTCTGGAATGAGGCGTACTTACCCGCCTATGCACTCTTATACAGGATGCTGATTATTGATAACAATAATTATCTGGTGATAAGAACTTGCTTTTCCAGGACAATTTATCCCGCAGTAGTTGGCGTCATTTTCATTTGGCGTTGGCTAGAACAGAGCATAATATTGTTTCGAAGACGGCCTTTGCTTTAACCTCGGTATGACAGATCATGTAGCTCTTATTGTAAACCTTGGACCTTGCTTTGTGTTTTTGTAGAATACTTTGAGTTTGACGCTGTTTTAGCTTGAAGTATCTGAACCATTGGTTTCTATGGCGACGAAGGTCTAACTATGGGGCCACTGAGCTGTCGCCATTTCTCAATTGTTGCTGCTCTATCATGGATATTTGGTCCCTAGCGAAACAAAAACTAGATGGGAATGAAGAGAAGCTCTCAAATGTGGAAAAAAAGATGGAGGACAAGAATGGTAAGTTGAGATTCTTCAAGCTCTAGTCTTTCTTCACTTGAACTTTTCACTTTCTATATATCTAAGTATTGCAATAAACATTGGAAGCAAAGTCTTCTTAAGTGAAATAATTTTAACTCGGCGTCTTTTGCTTATTCCTCCCAACGGTTTACCACATCATCGTGGCTGGGAGGTGTTCCTGGGTGCCCGATTGCAACGTACAGTAGGGAGAATCATCCCCCTTGCAAGGTCTCCCAAGCTGAGAAGAAGCCAGGCGTTCACATCAGGAAGCCCAGCTGAAAGTAAACCAATACCATGACCCACCATCGTCTCGAGATCGAAGTCGCGTGATGGCAAATCTTCCTCTGATTCACAAAGGCTGCGACTGCCTATGGTGATGAAGACCTGGGGCAGCCTTTGGCCAGGCTGACCTCGGGATTCCAGAGAACCGAAATGGCTTAACGAGCAAATGTCCGAAAAATTGTGATTATGCTGGGGCCTGCACAACCAGTGTGGACGGGCCGTTCAAGTATCAGGTAAGGATTTTGCTTATTGACGAGCTAACACGAAGTTGCTATAAAAACTGAAAGCGCTGACACGTTAGTCGAATAAATTTAATAACAACCTCATGTTAGCTCATCAATGAAGAGGAAACGTCAGTGTGAAGATTCTGCTCGCCAACGAGAAAGTGGAACCTGAATTAATTGAACTTTATTCAAAATTTATAGCCTGCGAACCAATTGGCTTCAATTACAGCGAATAGGAAATAAATGTTACACACTATTAGGAACATGATTAAGTGATACTACTGCACCGTATCTTATGACAAATTTCAGACGAAGAGGGTCGCGCTAGAAAAGGCACAAGTCATTTGATAGTTTGCGGAAATCCTCAGTCGGTAGGTGATCTGTTATACAGTTAGGTTATTATTTGCTGTTGCATTGGTCTGTATATTCAGGGAAAATCGACTATGATCAACAACTTTCTCGATAAGAGCGAAGAGCCCAAAGAAACCGTAGCGTTGGAGTACATGTACGCGAGAAGAACAAGAGGAAATGTGAGACAGAACTGATTAGCATGGAGAGTTTCTGTAGTTGGTGAACACTAGGGCATCTTAATATGCAGTACACTTGAAAGCACTGCAATGGAAGATTCAAGGTGGTTAGTGTTTAAGAGGAGAACACATAATATTGAGGATCAGTACTGCCACTTCTCATTTTGTGACTCTAAGTGTGTTTTAGTGAGGCCATACAAATTCGTTTTTGACATTTAGCTTCCTACTTTCCCTTTTTGAAAACAAGTAGGGTTTTCTTTGCATTTAGCCTTTCCCATGGATTTAAATTACAATTAGTTTTTTAACTTTTTTATTAAACATCTAATTAGTGAAAAAGAAGTCGTTATTTAAAGAACAAGGACATTTGTCACATTTGGGAGCTTGGAGGTGGGGCAGATCTCACTCAACTACTAGCTATTCCACTTACCAAGGAGAATATCGAGTAAGAAACCAAATATTGAATTTGAATTCATGGCTTCGGAAGCTTTAAATTTTTGACTGCTTTAGCACTTTTCAGATCCGCTACTCTAGTTGTTGTACTGGACTTGACCCGACCAAATGAGCTATGGATCACTATGGAAACGTTAATAGCTGAAGCAAGGCGGCATTGCGAAACAGCCATTAAACTTCTTCATCAAAATGAAGAAATGGCGATAAGACACCGCATGAAAACCAGGATTTCGATGAGTAAGGTGATAAACTTGAATCATAGGACTTTTCTTAGTTGTACATAGGTATTGTTGCAAAGTTTTTGTTAAGAGGCTGTTCCGTTGTATAATCACTGCTAGACAAGGAAACTTAATATGGGTAATTCTTCGTACGACCTAGTTCCACTACAGTTGAGAGGAAAAATTAATAGAACTTTAAAAACGCAAAAAGGGATTACAGTAACCTTTATGGTAAGAGTAGTGGTAGAGCAAAAATGCATTAACCAAAACGGCGCTTCGGATAAATTTCAAAAGTGTAAAGATGAATCATAAAGAGGAACGCCTCACTATCACACGTGATATGGCATCATATCAAATTGATTTTCTGACCTGGGTGGGTCTCACTTGACTTCCCATGTGCAGAACATGCGGGTGGCCCAACTCACTGCGGCACGGGTCTGTAGAAGGTGAAGTCGCCGAAACGCGGGCCATCGAACAACAGCAACAACAACGACGACTCATTGCAATCGCGCCTCAGCTCAACGAGGGCAATTCGTAGGAGCACATATATTAATATGGTAGCCCTTTCGGTAGTGCTCACAATAACCTTTAACCCTTTAAGAAATATACGACTCGTTATCAGTGGACAATCAGCAGAAACCGTCCTGTAATAAAGCGGCATCTCCGAGTGAGATTGTCATTCGATCAGTGCTCCACTCTGAGAGTTTCCATTCTATACGACAACGAAGACTCACATCGCAAAGACGAGGAGAGGCTCTGAGGAAGACGAAACCGTCGAAATATTGGCCTAATGAAAATTCTTACGAACCTCCAGTAAACTAAACAATCGAAAAGTACATCTGAATATCCTCGCCAAATGCTTAGTGGTAGCAGGATTTTAAGAAACTTTTATGTGTTCAACATTTATTTTGATCCTATGAGTAACTAGATGTTGCTAGAATATCTGTGGTTAATTGGATCACTGCAGCAACAGTGAATGTTTTGGTGAGCTGATGGGTGTTTTGTAATGAGGATGCTATGGTTCGCCTCTATGAACTGAATTCCTAGCTAGAATTGGTTATTGAAAAACACGTTGGAAAATATAACCCTCACCGTACAAGCTTATTTTATTTTTTTAATTTTGTTTAAATTTATGAGCAGTTTCGCAACCATATATAAACTAGTTCTCAAGCGCGGAACACATAGTTTCGATATCCAGTTAAACTGCTTAACAGAAAGACAGTTAGATGAGCCATCTTCACATTACGTGCTCTCCTAGGTTTTCATCTACTCGCCTTATTGTCTTTCAACTGCCATCCACGAAGTTGATCCTGTTATTGGACTTGTCCAGCTGTAGTGCAACCATCTGGTATTTTCATCCATGTAAACAAGCCAGTGAAGAGGGGCTTCCCTGGAATGTAATACTGGAACAAGAAAAATCTAACTTCCTTACTATGAATGCATCCAGAAGCGTGAGCAACGAGAGATGAGCAGAAACGCTTGCAAAGTTTACAGCAATTTCTTTTGAATCCCACATGCTCAGCGGAAGAGTCATAAAAAGCGGTGAGTGGGCGATTGATTTAGTTTTTTCTGTTTGGTTATGGAAGATGTTTAGCTGGGTAGACTGCGGCCAACTTGATCATTCCAGGCTCTGATGAAGGCAAAATCTACCAAAATTTCAACTTGTTTATAAATAAAGAATAGAGAAGCAGTCTCGTTAACAGTGAATTATTTGATTTCTTTCATATTAAAGCATGATTAGTAAGCACAGGTATAATTAACACACCAAATACAATAAGTGCAACATATTAGAAAGTACTTGGAAAACTGGTCAAGTACAACTAACACAAGAATATAACACCCAGGTGCACAGTCTGTTTATTACGTTTTTGAGCATATATAGTTGAAGAACAATTCAGGAGGACGAGAAGACCTGCTCATGGTTTCCAATACCAATGCTAATGGTTGGAACAAAATACGACGAGTTCCAAGTAAGCAAATTCGAACCTTCGTTTAATTTTCTGTGGTATTTAAATTTAGTTTGATTCAAAGAAAAATTTCATTTTGTCCTTACTAGTCACCTTAACCCTCCCAACGGTTTATCGCCTCATCGTGGTTAGGTGTTCTTGGGCGTAGCGCTGCAATGTACAGCGGGAGATTAGTCCCCCCGCAGGGTCTTGCAAGCTGAGGAGGAGTCCGGCGTTTCTACCAAGAAACCCAGCTAAGGGTAAACAAATACCAAGATCTGCCACCGTTCTGGTATCAAACTAGTAGTATGGTGGCAAATTCCCTCTGATCCACAAAAGCGGCGACTGTCTGTGGTGGTGACCACCTGGAGCAGACTTTGGCCAAACTAACTTCGAGACTCCAGGGAAACACAATGGTTAAGCCACAAAAACTGCGAAGAATGGAGATTATGCTGGTGTCCACACAACCTGTGGAAAAGGACCATCCATGTATCCAAGTAAGTCACCTTGGCTAAAGCGGTAGACAGCCGGACTTCGCGTGCTGCGTGGGTTACAGTAGTTTTTGCCTCTCTTTCATTGACTTGTAAAATCACTCCATAATCTGCCTATTTAAATGTGGATTAGGATAGGGCTTAAGGATTTGTCGTCTTTTTCCTATCCAAATTGATAGTTCAACCTAATAGAGATAACCTGTAACGAAGAGGAAAGGTTATTATAACAATCCTTTGAAATACGGTCTTCCCGTGTTTACTTTAGGAACTTCATTTTGGTTTAGTCACTGACATGAACAGCTTTATTTGTCCCATACAATCTTAATCTGTAAAAGGAAATGCAAAGCAGACTTCACAGAGATGACCTCCTTGCTGCTTGTTAACTTCATGTGGCATTCATTTGTCGAGTTCTTTCATAATTTTTCCAGTTTCGAAAAAAAATTTTTCAATCATCTGCGCGTTGGGCGGATGTTGCGCTTCTTAGGCTGTGTTTTTATGACATTATGTATTGTTGCCACGACAGCGTGTACCAAGTTCGAAGTCATGATTGTCGTCTCCACCACCATCCATAAGACGAGCGTTCCCACCGGCATGAAGTTTAAGGCAACTGTGTAAGCATTGAGCAACAGCTATTGCAAAAAGTGCTTGTGACATTGGCAAGAATGAAAACTATCCAATATTTATGGCACCAGCTACTGCAGTGGTTAGAGAGCCCTATAGCACACATGTGGTAGTTGACAGGACCACAATCTACAGGTTTGCAAATCCTTCCAGCCTTTTGGGTATACCTGTAGTCCAACTGATCGTCGGCTGACTCGAGCGCACCCCAGTAAACCTATTTTTTCCTGTGGCGTGCAAAAGTATCCCAGTGGGTTCTGTTCACTCTAGGGACTCGTTGAGCATCATATCTTTCTTCCAGTTTTTCGTGAAGAATCTTGACTGCCCGGTCGGTGGTTTTCCTGCAGTACGTTTGACATCCCGAGGTATCCAGTCACTAACGGCTCTTGTCCATCGGTTGTCATTCATACGTATTACGTGTCCGGTCCACCTCATCTTTGCCTGTTTGGCGTACAGATAGCATTGTCCTTTCGACTGCGCTCAGTGATTTTTCATCCTCCTTGAGCAGCGACCAGGTTTCCGACGAGTACGTTAACGCAGGAAATGCCGTTGTGTCGAAAAGGTGGGCACGGAGTTGGGTGGATTTTCTTTGTTCTCTTCTTACATCTTCGACGCTCTAGAAAGCTCCCCAAGTCGCTCGCTCCCTTCTGCCCAGCTCTGGAGCTAACTCGTTCATCAAATTGATTTCCCGACCTAGATAGACATAGCTGGAGCATTCGGAGATCTTCGTTCCGTTGGGCGTGTATGGGACCTACGAAACCAATCCGTCTCTCCTGAACATCGTTTTCGTGAGATTAAGTAGAAGACCAGTCGTTCCAGCATGGCTAATATTGGTGTTATAAGGACGATGTTATCAGCAGAACAAAGATGGTGTTATTGCCGACCATCGATTTTCACTCCCAAATTATCCCATTCCAATGTTCGCACGACATTCTGGAGGGGGCGGTAAATAATTTTGGCGAGATGGTATCGCCTTGCCTAACTCGTCTTCTGACGTCAATGTTAATATCGTTGTAGAATGGTGGTACTTTGGCTGTGGAATTTTTGAACAGCTGACGAAGAATCATTATGTACTCAGTAGAGACTCCCTAACTATCAAGGGCTTCTAAGACTACTTCTATCTCAACTGAATCAAAGGCCTTCTGTAAATCGATGAATGTGAGACACAGTGGTCTTTCGTACTCTCGCGATACATTAATGAGCCGTGTTACCGTGTGGATGTGGTCCATCGTGCTAAATCCTCTTCGAAACCCTGCTTGCTCACATGGCTGTTCTTGGTCTAGTGTTCTGTCAATTCTGTTTAGGACGACTCCAGTGAAAAGTTTGTAGACGACGGACAGTAAGCAGATTGGACGATAGCTGCCGATATCGTGCAGGTCACCCTTCTTGAACAATAACACGGTCTTGCTGGTTTTCCACTGAGTAGGGGCTTTGCATTCAGACAGGTAATGTGTGAAGAACGAGCCAGTGTGCTTACGAGGACTGGCGGAAGGTCCTTCAAGTGTTCTGGTCTTATCCTGTTCGGACGTGGTGCTGTTCGATTGTTAGCCGACGATATGGCACGTCGAATTTCGGAGGGGAGAACCGGTGGTATAACATATCCATCCTCCTTTGTTTCATATGATGGAAGGTGGACGTGGGTATCGAAGAGGTCCGAGTGGTATTCGTGAATAATTTTCTCCATTGCCTTTCTGGGCGCCGGACAGCAATCATCTTGGTCTTGTAATTGGAGATACTTCGGTGGGCTTTGTGAATGCTTTTCCTAGTCTCTGCTGCTTTGGCCTTTACTGCTGCTCTTCTCTCTCTAAGATCTTTTTTTACCGCCTGTCTGCACTGTTTTGCAAGCTCGGTCGTTAGTTCGTGGTTGCCTGCAGCTCGTGCGATTCCAGGCTGCCGTATCAGCTCAAGTGTTTCTGGAGATAGACGTCTCTCGGTGAGTTTTGAACTCTCAGCTTTCATAGCACTAACGTGAAGATGTTGAATGAGCCGATCGTATTTTTCGTCGATGTTGTCGACAACAGCATCTTCCCAACAGCCGACCAATGAATTAAAGAATTCGCAGATTACGATGGTTCTGAGACGTCGGTTTCTAAATTTAGGGGCTTTTTCTCCTTTCCACGAGGAACAAAATCTTGCACGAACGAGACGGTGGTCCGATCCCGTGTAGAATTTTGGGAAAACAACGACATCGCTTGGGCAAAACCTTCTATTTACTATGATGTGGTCTATTTCGTTGCGGTACTCCTCATTGGGAGACGCCCACGTCCAACGCTGAGGGTGGGGCTTCTGGAATTGCGAGTTACCATGGATTGTCTTGGTCGCCATGATAAACTCAGACAGCCGCTCTACCTGTTCGTTTCATTCTAATCCGTGGGTCCCAATGTGACGTTCTTCAGAAGTTCTTCTTGCTCCAGTCTTGGCGTTGAAATCTCCAACGATGAGCTTGAAGAATGTATGGTCTCCTCTGTGGAACTTCTCCAAGTCCATATACACCGCTTCAACTTCTTCTTCGTCATAGTTTGATGTCGGCGCGCGAACGACGAAGATTGTCAAAGCCGGTATTGTTCCACATCTTTTTAATCGTAAACGTCTGCTTCGGGTTGTAAGTTGTTCGAATGAATCGATGTTCATGGGCAAACTCGTGCTGACGAGAACGCCGACGCCGCCGACTCCTCTACTGTCTCATGTTCCGAGGAACAGTTCTTCTCCGGCGTCATAGGCAGTGTTGAAAGGCTGGTGTCTCCTCGTCTCGGCCAGACCAATGACGTCATACCTTATCCTTCTTGCTTGCATGAGCAAGTCTTCTATCGAGCACTCGGATGCAAGTGTACGTGCATTGTAGGTACAGATCGCCACCACAGTTCTTTGAAATCCAGGCAGCTTCCACTGGCTGCGAGATTTTAGCAGCCTCTCCGTACTCGTCCTATCCAATGCTGCGAAATTGTGGGCTCTATCGGGATCAAGGGAATGAAGCCCGTTCTTTTTACCGTGTTTAGCATTTTTTGATATCCACGTATAGCTAGCTGGGCTCTGAACGTGGGGCTGGGTATACTCACGGATAGCTTACCAGGCTCTCCCCTAGAGTGGGCATGGGGCTCATTTGCTGGTGGGGACTCCTAACCACCTCCCATATTCTTCCCAGTCACTTGTTTGCAGGCTTTTGGCCGAATTGGTTCGTAGAATACAATCCGCATAAGCAAGAACGCGCACACACACGCGTGCTTGAATACGCCTAGCAAATACAGAATGTATGTGCCAAATCAGCGCAGCAGAAATAGGGAGTCCATCCCCTGTATACACCTGCGTCTCAGGGAAGCAAAGATCGCTTTTGGTCCGCGATTAACCCCCCATCCGCCACCTGGAGACGCGCCACATAGCCTCGCGGCTAACCGGCTCGAGATCCCTCATATGAGGGAGATCCGTGGATTTCCTTTCTGCCTATACCGACGTTTATCCTCTTGCAGAAACCTTCAACAATTAGTATTTATTATCATCCTTACGAAATGCGTCGCAGTAGTATTAAGGTTCAGTTTCCTTCATTTTTCAAACGACTCCTTATTGATAACGAGATCTGAACTTTTTCTGAACTGAGGCGAGTTCGCTAAAATTTTAGCCTCTTTGACATGCAACTTCGGTCGGGTCTTTTTTTTACCTGGCCGTAATTTGAGGAAACGATTTTATTCAGGTCATCTTCGTCATGGCCACGATCAGATCCTGTGCAGAATCCAGGCACGAATGAGGAGTCATAGAGGGACAATTTCCTCTCTGTGAGAATATGATGATATCCATATAAGTTTTTCCGTTGAGAGGCTCCCGTGTCTATCGGCGATTTTCTCTCTTCCCGAAAAATGTTTTCCATGGTAAGAAGCGTGATATAGACAGCAGTTCTACAAGATGGTTTCCATCTGTTTTCATATTCTGAAATTCCCTATTTTGCATTCAATTTTGTTGTCCATTTCTACTCTGGCGTTGAAGTTCCCAGCAACGAATTTATAGAAGGTCTTCCAGTTATAGAAAGCTACCTCCACCTGACCACAAAACGCATCCAGTTCGCTCTCATTAGCTGTACAAGTTGGTGTGCAACGGCTTATGGGCGACTAGATGCGAAACAGATGGGTGTACAACAAAGCCAACTTCTCCAACATTTCGTAACGAAAATTTCTCTTCACGAATGGAAAAGGTTCCATCGTCTATGTCTAGCTGGCGTTTATTTGCTTTTTTTCTTTTCATTTCTTTTAGAGCGACCACATGCAGTTTGATACGATTAGCAGCCTCAAGATAAGCGCAATGATCGGTGAATGCAAAGGGTGTTCTGGCGTTATAGGTGCAAAGCAGGAAACGGTCTCTGTGGCCTATCGTTTACGTGTTCGTTTTGTACGTTTCTAATGGCGTACTGTGAAACACAAGATTTGATCATCTGTCATCGATTGTCTCACAGCCTTACGTCTTAGACGGGAACACCCAGCGGGTGGTCTGCTGAGGACGGTGATTTGCTGGTTTAGCCATTATGGTTTCTTAGAGTCATGAGGGCCGAAGTCTTTCTTAGATCGTCATCTGCCCAGGCAGTCGCTGCAGTTCTGGATCAAAGAGAAATTTGCCACTATGAAACTAGTTTAACACCTGAATGCATGTGAATCCTGGCATTGGTTTACGCTTGGCTGGGCTTCCGGTTGAAAGCGTAGGACTCCCTCTCGGTTTGGTAGATCCTACTGAGGGGATAGAATCCGCGCCGTACATCACAGTCCGGAACCCAAAAACACTTCCCAGTCACGATGAGGCGGAAAACATCTGGGAAGCCCAGATTTTCGGTCAACTGCTCGTAATAATCGCTATTGTCTTGAAATGTTGTCAATGACAAAGAAGCTATTTTTTCAATCGGCATGGTCCTGCGATTGGACCGTTTCTGGCAAAGAAAGCCATCTCAATTAGCAGCTAATCAAAAATTCAAAAGGGAGACAGGTTGTAAAACATAGTGGAACCCAAGCCCGAACCTAACCATGTTTGCGAGCCAAGGAAACGAATGGAAGAAGTGTTGCTTCTTGCACAATGTGTTAGGCCTGGCCATCTCACCATCAACAGTATTTTCGCTGTACAGAATTGTAGCATAGTAGTTATGCAACATAAGTACTATTTCTTTTCCAGAATTTGGACTCGGAGCAACGGCGTAGAATATGCACAACACTCCGCTTTATTGCCTTTTACTACGGAGCTCATTTGATGGTAGGTTCTTATCAATACCCCTGGAACAAACACATTGGATTCAAGCTATGACACTGGAGCAATCCACCAACAAATAAAATTGTCTTGACACCTTAGCTGATACAATAGAGAATAATTAAATTTAGGTTCTGAAACACTTTAAACTTTCGCTTTCCGCAATTCACTTGCTTATGTGTGTTTGGTAACACTGATCGTGCTTATAAAGTGCCCAGCTTTTCGTTAGCTACAAATCTGAAGCGCTTATAGGTTTCCCAAGGTGCTGGCGCATCAAATGCCTCGATCACTTTTCCGTGACAGCTTTATTTTTGAGGAGTAGGCAAAAAAGACTGTCAAAACATGCATGGGCATACACTACTTCAAATGGAAGTATCTGTCCAGAGTCATTAGTTGTTCAAAGGAATGAACAAACGTCGATGAATAACTTCGTGTTAGCGAGCAGCTTTAAAAATTCTTCAACTCTACCTACTCTGCTCTAATGCTCCGTATCCCGAGTAGTTTTTTACGATATAATAGATGGTGTGTAGTAGACAGTACCTTATTCTCTTAGGCAACCGGATAATGCGTTCTTGATCGTTTTGGCGTACACGACTAGCTCTTTACAGAATAATTTATATGTTGGCAAGCGTGCATTGTATATCACTATAATTTTTTTTATGATTTTGCCCATCTAAAAAACACCGACATTTCAGCAGCACCTAAGGAGACTTTTTTGAAGACAGCGTTAACATTCATTTTTGCGAAAGAGACCCACGAATAGATTTTCGGGCTCTGCAATAGGATACTCTAACTATACTCGTAAGGAGCATGCAGGAATTCCCAGGAGTAGATGCGAACGTCATTTTTTGGAAGCAACCCTAAACCATTTTCAATGGGAAACATAGTTATAAGCCACTTAAGTGTAATTTTTGACAAAACGCATGTCTGTGCAAAATGTACTGTGAATACACGCCAAAAAAGCTGTGATCGTAATCACAAATGTCTACACACATACAGAAAGTCTAAGTGGATCTCAAGTCAAAATCTAAATCAATCATTTAAAAAGCTACACTAAAAAGCACATAAAAGTTAATCCTCTTCATCAATGTACTTTCGATAGTGCAAGAACATATTATGTACATCTCAACACTTTCCTTAAAACGGCTAGTTACTGTAAGAAGACAACTCTCTTCAAAGCCCGTTACATACTGTTCCTCCAAGTATTTTTCATAGCTTTTTTTCTTAAATTAATCACCTTCGCCACTTGTCTTTCCTTTGATCATCGGGTGACTACTATATGAAGCGCTAGCAACTTTCCATTTCTCCCTGTGGCATTCAAATATACCTCCAGTAGGTTATATTCTCTCTAAAAACTCGCTGAGCTTTATGTCTTCCCTCTAGGGTTTTAATAATAAACCGCATCGATGGTCTTTCTGCTCTGCGTTTGACATCTGAGGAATCTAGTCGCTAAAGGCTTTTGCCCATCGATTTTGAGACATTACATATGCGCTTTACCTGATTCTCGACATTTTAGGGTGTAAAACCGCGTCTCTAACTTTTGATTGTTGACATAGGTCAGAGCTTCGAATCTCCTCTCTTGATTGTTTGATATGGAATGTTCCCAACATCATCGTTTCGATTGTGCCTTAAGTAACACTGAGTGTTCTTTCATCCTACGGAAGGAACCAAGTTTCCGGGACGTATGCTGGGGTGGGAAGAATTGTGGAATAGAAAAGATGGTTATGGAGTCTGATGTTCTTTGCTTTCTTTATATTCTTGTTCTTTGTTTTATTCACTATATTTAAAGCGCTTTCGAAGTTCCCCAAACCGCTCATTTGTTCTTGCTTAATTCTAATTTTCTAATTTTCAATATGATCAACGACTTAGCTTCTGATTTTATATTAGAATGATATTTTGACCCTGGGGTGTGTCTTGCTCGCGACTCCACGAAAAAAACGTGTGGGCCAGTCCCGCACGTAACATCACGGTGAGTGGCCTTTGTGTTCAGCATGGCGTCTATTTGAAAGTTTGTTCTTCATTAACACTTTAACCTTTCTTTTCTACCGAATAATAAAAATATTCTAATATAAAATACTTCCAAGCTCTGAGGAAACGTGAGCCATCGATCAATAACATCAAAAACAACGACGACGACAACGAAGATCTGTACCAACCTCGCGTCAGCTTAAGAAAATCAGTTTATGAGATCACATAAATAAATATATCAACTATCTATGCCGAGGTTTATAGAAAGTCGGTCTTTCGAGTTATTTTTGTGATAGATTTAATCGAGGACCCATCTTTCAACATTGCCAAACATGTGTTGCCAAAGCCAACTAGCATTCAGTTAGTTAAGGTTTGGTGGTGTAGGATCGATGTCATCAGAAAGCGAAGGTTCTGTAATTGCCAGCTATCGATTTTTACTCTCATGTTGTCTCATTCCACTGTTCGCACAACTTTCTCGAAAGTAGCAGTAAACAATTTTGATTTTCTTCATTGCTATTCTTTAAACTCTAACAGTTTTTATTGGACTGCCACCACCGTGATTGCGTAATTGGTGAATTTTCTGTAGGTGTTGCGAATACTCTTATCAGGTGCTGCACTTTCATTATTATTGCTGCTCTTCCCAAGATCTTCTTGACGCCTTTTTTCTGTGTTTTGCAAAATCTGACGTGAGCCCTGGGGCTCGTGAAGTTCCACGTTGACGCATTAGCTGGGGCGTTTCTGGTAATTTTCGAACACCCAAATTTCATAACGCTAACGTGAAAATGTCGAAAACACCGGTCGTATTTCTTGCCGATGTTATCAATAACGGTATATTCTGTAAGCTGGCTAATGATCTGAAGCTAAGTGCATCTAGGTGCTTTGTACAGGAGCTGAACATGCGGGGAATAAGTGTAAGACATGACGCAATCGCAATGACTGAGACGAGAAGACGTCTCCCTACTAACGCATGTGATACTGGACAAGAGCTTTTCTTCGGGACATGCGACAGTGAAGGAGTAAGCGGCGTTTGCATGATAGTCTACAGGAGTTTAGACATCGACATTGATTCAATCGAATAATCAACAACTTGAATTCGATTCTTGCTTTAGGAGAAGCTTACGTCTGAAAAGATGGGGATCAATTTAGGCTTTCACAATATATGTGGCCTATGCACCGGCATCACACCATAACAAAGTCAAAGTCGGAGCGTTCTACATGAATTTTGAGAAATATACAGAGAGAGCCATACATTATTTAGGATCATAATTGGGGATTTTAACGTTAACACCAGACCCAGAAGAACGTTTGAAGAAAGTCACACTGGGATGCATGGATTGGAATGGAACGAGCAGGGTGAGTGGCTATCTGAGTTTATAACGACCAAAACGACTTATTATAACTGAGAACTTCAAGAGCTCCACTCTCAACGCTGCATGTGGGAGTCTCCCAGTGCAAAGCACCATAGTGAAATGGATCACATCATATTAAATTGAAGGTTCTTCCATACTGATGTCGATGTCATCCTAAAATTCCACGCAGCCCTAGATCGCCGTCCCATGGCGCAAGATTCCAATTTTCGCAAGAAGTTCAGAAAACCACAAAGTTAAGAAAACGAAATACTAAAACTACCATAGCTTTAATTTATTCAGATCATTAAATAACTCTTATGAAGATGTTGTATTGACAATATAATATCGACGAGGAATACGACCAGGTTTTTCTACATCATCATGTTACCACTACGGAGGGTGAGATTTCGGAAGTTATCAAAGAACTTCTGGTTCCAGAAACACTCGAGGCGCTAAGCCAATGCAAGGTTTTTATTCAGTAGAAGACCAGGAAGGCTGTGTTACTATTCAAGAAAGGTGACCTCGATATCGACCACGATCGACCCCCCATTCTGCTTGCATGTTCTTTACAAACTCTTTGCTCGAGTCGTCTTAAACGGAATTGACAGAACACTGGGTGAAAGACGGCCAGTGAGTAAACAGGGTTTCGAAAAGGATTCACTGCAAGAACCACATCTACACGATAGCAAGGCTCACTGAAGTGTCGTAAAAGTACAGGAGACCTCTCCGCTTAACGCTCGTCAATTTAAAGAAGGCATTTGGCTCAGTTGAGATAGAAGAAGTCATGGAAAACCTCGACGGCTAGAGTGTCCCTACTCAGTATGTAAATATTATTTTGAGCTATACAAATATTTCGCAAGCAGCTTATATCCATTCTATAATGATATGAAAGTCGACGTAAGGGCAAGAGTGCTACAAGGCTATACCACGTCACCAAAAATATTCACTATCATACTCATCAATATCATGCTAAAATTGGAATGAGACAACAGTGAAATTGATCAGCAATTACACCGTCTTTGCTTGGCTGATGATATCGTGCTTATAACACCAAGTATTAGTCAGGATGAACGACTGCTGGCCGACTTTGACAACACCTGTTTAGAGATCAGTCCTCTATTAAATCTAACAAAACAATGTTCACGAAAAACGGATTGGTATTGTATGCTCCACTCACGCTTATCAGTGCGAATAACTCCGAATACTCCGGATACGTGAATCTAGGTTGGAAAGTGATGAACGAAGTGATGGTGATATGATGAGCGGATTAGCCCCAGAGTTGAGCAGGAGTGGTTTGGGGAGCTTTCAAGAGCATCGATGATGTAGTAAGGAGAACAAAGAACACCCGACTCCATGCCCACTTTTTGGACTCGACGATTCTTCCAGCCCTAATGTATACGTTAGGAACTTGGTCGTGTAGAGAAGGAGGATCACCAATACGGTGGTCAGAATTCTTCATTAAAACACTAGAAGAAAGTTGTGATACTATACTCAACGAGTCGCTATAAGGAGAAGAAACTACTAAGAAACTCTTGCCTGTGGCAGAAAGGAAAAGAAAATTTGGTAGCGTCCACTGGAGTCGTTCAGCGAATAACCGGACGACAGGTGATACTTGTGATACTTTCCATTGGTAGGCTCTTTTGTCCAGCCTTGGCAATGGGCCTTCTAGAATTGTGAGCTACCATGAGTGGCTTCGGTCTGCATGATATATTCAGATAGCCGCTCGTCCTGTTCTTTCGTTCGAATCCGTGGGTTTCAATATGACGTTCTTCAGACGTTCTTCTTGGTTCAATCTTGGATCTACAATCTTCAGTGATAACCTTAAAGTACGTATGTTCTTTTTTGTCGAAGTTTTCCAAGTCCATATGAAATGGTTCAACCTCGTTTTCGTCGTAGTTTTGTTGGAACGTAAACGAAGAAGGTTGTCAATGCAGCTATAGATCCACGTCTCTTCAACCGAACCGTCTCTTACAGCAATGCAGTTGAAACATCTTCTTCTCCACCATCTTGTTTTCTTATGAATTCACCTTATAGCTGATTTTTCAACGAGTTTGTTAGTTTATTTGAGAATCTGAGTAGGGTTCATCAAGTGTCAATGCGATACGAATTTGTAATCAACATATTCCCCATAGAGCAGATTTGGAACTTCTCTGAATAAATTTCAATAACCAGTGCATATGATTTGAATTCAGTATTTAAAAAAGTTGGCAGTATAATTTTTGGGTGCATATATAAAAAGGATGAAAAACAAAAGATAAAGCTCTCGACGTTGATCAATCCCCTACGGCGCCATGCATTCAACTTCATTAATCATCGTTGGAAGTGATTGGTTGCATATCTGCCCTCTATAATGACTCATGGTGGTGTATCGATGCATTGAGTCAGTGCTGGTATCCTTCCAGACAGGTCTGGTATCAAATGGACAACTCCGGACGGATAGAAGGCTTGGTGGGCCTTGGGCGCGGGAATCGATACCATGTGTATTGCAGGGCGCCTCCGACCACTGCACCACGTGCGCCCACATATATATATATATATATATAAATTAAAGTGTCTCGCTTAAAAATTAATGACTAGAATCAATAAACCTTTACATGATAGAGCTGACACGAGGTTAGTATAAAATTTTGCTAGCGCAAAGCAAATCATTGGCGGGAATTTACTAATACCCGTCCTGTATAAGAAGGCATGGTTGAGTGAAGTTCTCCATTTGGGCGGTGCTTCTCTCACTGGATTGGATTAGATGCTACAACGAAGATCTGCATCGCGATATCGACCAGATGTGGAGCAGAACGAGTCCGAGGAAGGCGAAGCACAGAAACGTTAGCTGGATAAAACTTTTATACCAACCTCGTGCTACCTCAACCATGTAAAAAAAACTATTGTTTATTCACCGAGGCTTAATGAAAGTTGGTTTTCAAAATATTAAAAAGCAGAGCTCTCAAAATCGAGATTTTTAAGACAAGCATGGGTAACGAACAAGAATGCACTGGTCAACGCAATAGCGTTTTTTTTTTTGAAGAATTGCCGCTTGTTCAATTGCCCATCCGTTCGAGATGCGAGCCTCGAGCTCCAGAGAAACAGAGTTTCATGCACGGATAAAAAGAGAATCCTGCAAGGCAATGCCCGTAAATTGTACTAACTTTACTCTATTTAATAGAGCTTAGCGGACTGAAATATCTGCGTGAAGTTAAAGGTCGAATTTACTTTGATGGACATACGCATTGCAATCAATGCGAACAGGCTCGAAGATATTAATGAGATTTAGTGTAGTGACTCAGTGTTCTGTGTACTAATTGTAAAAAAAAACTTCACGGAGATGAAGCAACGTACAAATAATTGTTTTCAGTTTTATTCGTGTTACCACGAGCAACTAGTGAGAGTCGGAAGAAGCGTATTTAGTCACTTCGGCTTTGGATCATCTGTACCGAAAGCAAAAGTTATCGATCACAATAAGCCAATCTACATCACTAGTGGAACCGACACAGTCGAGGTGAACTCATGTCAACTCAAGCGTTCAAAAATAGATGACATTCGAATATTGCAAGACTTAATGTCCTTCGCTAGGCATATTCATTTACCACGTATTTTTATCTTGCACTATATTTACATCCACATTTCATTTTATCTTCAATGACGTCTTAATATGTTGTGTGGATCTAAGCACACCTTTCATTTGGATCGTTCTTCGCGAAAGTGTTCCGTCTTCTGTGTGCATTCGGCCATAGCTTGAGGACTTTGTCTTCATGAATGTCGCTGAATGCTGGTCTAGTGTGAGTTGTTCTCTGACCCTGGAATAGCACTGATGGAGCGTTCTCAATTGTAGCAAGGGCTTGTCGCTAATCTTCTTCGATTTAAATGAGGTTTTCTTAAATAAATTCAGTAAGAGTTTGTCGGTCCTCGATATATAGTGGTAGTAGGTTCGTCTGATTTGTTAGGCAAATAGAGCAACGCCGTCCACTACTCATATTAGTTATGGCCAAGTGAGCACTGAGTACGCCCAAGTAGTACCATCTTATTCAATGTCACAGAGTTCGCTGATTTTTATATCCAAGAAAGACGACAACTGTTATAATTTGTTGTCTGCTTTCCCTGTTCGCGAAGAATCCTTTGCAGGATCACTGAATGTTTAAATGCACGCTTGACATCCCGGGGGAACCTCTTTCATAGGAGTCTCATACACTCAAGGCACTTAGATTCTCCAGATTAAGAGGCGCCAGGACTTCTGGATACATTTGATCGTTTTTAAACGGTTTTTACACTTCTTTTTCAACGATGCGTTGTACGATCCTAGCTGCCCCTTCTTCAGCTTGCAATTTGTATGTGTAGTTCATGATATGGCGACCAATGTTACTTTTCCTCTGCAATCGCACATTTCTTGCATACCACTGACACTATCTCTCACAGCTTTAGTTCGCTGGTTACGTTCGATCCTCACTCAGTTAGAGGAGCCTACATCACTTCCCGGTTTGTCTATCACTCACTCTGTCTTCTGTATTATTTGTCCTCCTGTTAACATTTGAGTGACTCAAGCGGGCGCTAGTAAATCTTCCATTGCTCCTTGTCACGTGCGTGCAACAGTAGCCAAATGGGTCCTGCTCGCTCACGGAACTCGTTGTATTGAAGGATAGTGACATTTTGGTTGTGAAATTTTTACGCAGCTCGTGAGGTACCTTCATATTCTGAGAGGAACACTCTGGGTATCCAGAGTTTCCACGACTGCTTCTGCCTCAGTTTAGTTTCCATAAATCGATGAAAGTGAGCTAGCGCGATCTCTTGTATTCACGTGATACTACAATAAGTTTTCCTATTATTTGGATGTGGTCCATCGCATCTCGTCCAGTGTCCCATCAGTCCCGTTAAGGACGATTCGAATGATATGTTTGTACATGACAGAAACCAATCAGATTGGGCGATAGTTGCCGACATCGTCGAGGTTGCCTTTCTTGACAATAACATACTTTCGCTCATTTTTTATTGAATAGGAATTTTGCGTTCTTATAGTTAACCTGTGAAGAGCCGAGCCAGTGTGTGCATGAATATTGGTGGGAGGTTCATCAGTTATTCGGATCCTATCCCGTGCGGACATGGTGCTGTTCAATTTTTCACCAACGAAATAGCATATCGGACTTCGGAAGGGAGAACTGATAGGACGACATATCCATCTTCATTTATTTCATATAAGGGCAAGAGGACGTAGCTATTGAAGAGATCTGAGTAGTAAACGTGAATGGTTTTCTCTATAGCGCTTCCTTAAGATGTAGCTGTTTCGTCTAGGCGCCGGAGCGCGGTGATTTTGGTCTCGTAGTTCGCGAAGTATCGATTAACTTTGAGAATGCTTTTCCCAACTTCTGCAACTTCGACCTTAACCGTCACCCTTCTCTCTTTAAGGACTCCTTTTATCGGTTGTCCGCATTTTTTTGCAAGTTCGGACGTGAGTTGGCGGCTGCATGCAGCTCGTGGGATTCCACGTTGACGTGTCGGCTGGAGCGTTTCTGAAGAGACGTTCCTTCGAGACTTTCGAACTCTCAAGTTTTATCACGCCAACATGAAGATGTTGAATTAGCCGATCATATTCCTCGTCGATGTTACCAAGGGCGGCATGTTCTCAACGGCCGACTTGTGAACTGAATAAATCCCAGTTTATGGTGGTTTTAAAGCATCGTTTCTTAAATTAAACGGTTTCTTTCCTTTTCTCCGATAAATAAAGTCTTGTAAGAATGTGGCGATGTTCTTGTCATGTGTAGAAATCAGTAAAAAAAGCGAAATCGGTTAGATTAAAAACTCGATTTACTACAGCGCGGTTTATGTTGGTATGGTACTTACCAGTAGGTGACTCCCACGTCCAGTGTTGAGAGTGGGACTTTTGGAATTGCGAGCTATCATGAAAGGTCTCTGTCACGGTGATAAACTCGGTTAGTCGCTCACCTTGCTCATTCCATTCTAATGTGGGTCCCACTGTGATGTTCTCAAGATCTTCTTCTGGGTCCAATCTTCGCATTGAAATTTCCAATGATGGCCTTAAAGAACGTATGGTTTGCAGATATGGTCTTCTCTGCAGATTGCTCAAGTTCGCAGAGACTTCTATTTCGTCATAGCTTGACGTCGGTTCGTAGACGACGAGGATTGTCAAACCCAGTACTGATCCACGTTTTTTTCATCCCTGAATATCCGATTCTGGTTGTTAGGATTTGGAAAGAATTGATGATGAGGGTCAAATTCGTGTTGAGGAAAATACCGACACTGCCCACTCTTCTACTGTCGCATGTTCCAAAGAACACCTCTCGGTTGCCATAGAAGTTAAATGGGTGGCGCCTTCTCGTTTCCGTCAGTCTGATGAGATTTTGTCTTATCCTTTATGCCTGTATGACCAAGTCATCTATCGAGGACTCAAATGCAAGCAGAGCGCATTATTGGTACAAATCACTTTTGTCCTTTACGGTTTAGGCCGCCTAGAATAGCCCTGAGATTTTAGCAGCTTCTCCGTTCCCGTTCTATGCAACTCCGCCGTAGCGGCTGTTCTTACTTCGTCAGGGGAGTGAGCTCCACTTATCTTACCGTACTTAGCGTTTGGTACCCACCTATAGCTAGCTGAGTTCTAAACTTGGGGACTGGGTGTTCTCACGAATAGCTTGCTAGACTCTCCCAGAGCAAACATGGAGCTCATTTGTTGATGGCGACTCCTTACCTTATCTCATATACTCCTCTGTCACTTCGTTGTGGACTTTTGGCCGAATTGACTCGTAGAATACAACCCGTATAAACGAATGCACACCTACAAACGCATGCTTAAATACGTCTTCGCAGGGAAAGATGGTAAGCGCCAAATCAGCATATCAGAATCAGGGAGTCCATCATTTCGATCCACTGGGTTTCAGGAAAGAAAAAGTTTGCTTTTGGCCCACGATTAACCACCTATCCGCCACCTGAAGACGCGCCAGATTGGTTCGTGATTAATCGGCACGGGATACCTGTATTAGGGAGACCATGGGTGAATGGCATCAGCTTCTAAAAATCATCAATGGCAAGACGAAACTTTTTTTTTGTGTGCTTCACCATGTTCTGCTTTCAGACGGTAGGTAGCACACCCTGCAGATTTATGAAGTCATTCCTGATCGCCTGAGATTGCTCTCTCGCACTGTTTAATGCATATGGCCCAACGTGCCGCATCGGTGTTTTCTCAAAAATTTCTGTCCACTTGTGTGTGCACCATCCTCACCAACAGCAACCTCTGTGGGTTCAGAGATTTTCCAGGTTTTCTCCGCCACAAACAGTCTTTATGTAGCAAGAACGCAGTCGTGCGATGAACAGTTTCTTGCAGATTATTATGTTGAAGGAGTAGCTTTTCACGGAAAACGTCTAGCACAATATCTGTATCAGATAAGTTGGCGATCAACTACAAAAGATAGAAGAAAAAGAAAACTTTGAGGAAAGACAAACAAGCGGGAAGAAAATACCTCAAAATCAGTTCGTTCACCCCGCTTTCACGTCCGCATTAACATCACTGGCATGCGCCCGTGCAACTGTTGTTCTTGCACAAATTATCTACATATGCTGAGCTTACTTTGCATTGGTGTATTACTATAGTGTATTATTATTATATAATGGTTTAGATATCAAAGTTTGAGTTCACACTTGATCAGACATCACAAATCTCGTGAGGCATCGCTTAGAGGGATAACATTAACCGCAGCTCCACCTCTGCAATCAGCGAAGATAAATGACACAGATTATACACACCATAAAAATATCCTTAAGTCCTTTACAAAGAAACACAAAAGGACGACTTGGACAGACTTTTGCGGTATTTCAACGCAATTTCAAATTGACGCAGGCATATCACGACTGAAGGTTAGAGGAAAAGGAGCTCACCACTCAGTCTCTAAGAGTAATGTGCGCTATCTTGCTAACCTGCTATTGCATAATAGATAAAACTACTTACTTCTTCAATATGTTTTTAAATTGTTGAGCTTACTTATTTACCTAACTTACTTTATGTTTTATTCCACTCTACTCTAAATTTATTTTTATTTTATATTACACCTCCCAACGGTTTACCGCCTCATCGCGGGTGGGAGGTGTTCCTGGTTGTTCGGCTGCAATGTACAGTAGGCGATTCATGCCCGCAGCACGGCCCCCAAATTGAGGAGGCTGACGTTTCCATCTGGAAGCCCAATTATGAGTAAACCAATACTAATACCAAGAATCACCACCGTCGTGGTATCAAACTATTTGCATTGTGGCAAATCTTCCCCCGATCCAGAAGGGCGGCCACTATTTGGGAATGTGAAGAACTGAGGTACGCTTGCATTTGAATCCTTTTCTCGCACCATGCTCCATGAGAATATTCGGATTTTGCATATAAGTTTGATTGTTGCTTGAGAGTTTTCTGTCTTTTGAATGTTGCTGGTCGACCCGACCTTCCGTGGGACGCTGGAATAGTCAGTCGCGTTAGGGCGTTTCCACATGTTCGTCACACACAACCACCAATTATTGTGGATAGAAGAGAGAGAGATGATCGCACGCAAGCCTAGTAGAAATTCCACAAACTCAAATGGTTCGAAGGCTTGGTTGACATAGTGTAGAGGCGCGCCTGGACCTTGCGCGTATTGAACGGCATCACTACCACTAGAGCGACTACCTATGCTCCACGTACTCTACTACTATAAAGCTAGCAAAACTAACTTGATAAAACATCACAGAACATCAGCGACAGTCCTGAACATAGACGGTCATGAATGACCCACGCCTGTGACTGTAATCAAGGAACCAAACCAAGCAGCCAAGGTTCTCGACCAGTGAATGTCCATGTTTATTACAATGAGACCCATAAAGTAACTTCGTAATGTAATTTCGGTTTAAAATCTGCATTTTATAGATACAACTTTATAGTCGTATTTTCCTGACTGTAATGCGTCACTCATTCACTCCAACGTCCACTGAATTTCACCACTCCCACCATGCCTACATGCCTACTCCCATCACATAAACAATAGACGTAAAAAATGTCTCTGCAACCTGTTCGCGTCAAGAAATGTTCACTAAAAAGACCCCACTTTCGTAACCATGGAACACCTAACAATATTCCTTTATGGGCAGCTAATACTCGGAGTTCAACACGATCCCAAGTTAAGATGGACTTCTATTGTCATACTTCAACGAACACAATTTTGTACATCATGCACCATTTAATGACTTGATATTTGAGGACCTCCAAATGGTTTACCGCCTCATCGTGGCTAGGAGGTATTCCTAGGTGTTACGCTGTGCTGTGCAGCGGGGAGATTCATCTTTACAGCAAGGTGTCCCAAATTGAGAAGACGTATGGCGTTTCCATCAGGAAGCCCAGCTAAGAGTAAACCAATACCAGGATACACCACCGTCCTGGTATCAAAGTCGCATGGTGGCAAATCTCCCTCGGATCCCAACCGGCAGCGGTTGCCTGTTGTGGCGACAACCTGGGGCAGGGTTCGATCTGGCTGTCCTCGGGAATCCAGGAAACCAGAATGGCTAGATCAGCAAAACTCTAAGAAAACGGAAATTATGCTGGGAGCTGGACAACCAGTGAAAACTGGCCACTCAAGTATTCAAGTAAGTAAGTATATTAGGTTAAGGTTATTACACCTCAAAGAATTCAATGTGGTACCTGATACATCATTTAAAGACCTGATGTGTTAGAATAAACCAAGAACAAGCAATGAAAAGGACTTTGAGACATCGTCCAAAAAAAGTAATCTCTGGGAAGTCAACACTATCGTAACCTGCAGCGTTGTGATCATGAAAGTAACCTATCATCGACGTGAATGAGCATCGATTCATTCGCTAGGAACAATCTCCGTCGTCTCAATAGGTAAGAAGAAAATCTGTCACGTCAATACTCACAATCCATGGCAAATCAGATCTTTTCGCTATGTTATATCTGCATTTCGCTCTTCCTCTGAAACAAGATTTTAGTCTATTGGTTCGCTCCATATGGACTCCACCTCGTTATTACGCGCCACTGAGTCCATTCACCTGTGGAAAATTGCCTTCTGTGACTATTTTCAACAAAAGGTCTGTCACGTAATACATTATAAACCACCGATTGCAAATGAACAAATGAATAGACGTGTGGTCTGGCTGGAACTAAAAGTAAATCTTTGGTATTCTTTTCCTGTTAGTGAGTCTACTGTTTTAAATTTAGGAACGCAAAAGCGCCGAAAAGACGAATGATGAGCAACAACTATTTCGGGAACCTGTCATTGATAGTCTAGTTGCACAGAAAGAAAAGGTTACTGACTTACTTTCATTGAAATGCTTAATCATGGTAAAAACGTTAGCATTTAAATTAGGTATACATGCATCGTGCGTAGTGGCGCGTGTAGCGCCGTAGTTAGAGGCGTCCTGCAATACATGTGGGATCGATCCGGCGCCCCAGGCTCAAGCCCTGCATCTCTTCCGGGTCGGCAAATTGGTGCCAGACTTGTTTGGGAGGATAGCAGCACTAACTCGACGACTCTACACACCGGTAGGCTACAGCAAGTCATTGTAAAGGCCAGATTGCATTGAATCACCTCCAAACGGTGCTTAACGAACTTGAATGCATGGCGCATCCCTCAGGAATTGATCAACGCCGAGAGCTTCTCAGAGCTTTAACGTCATTCTTACGTCGGTATTCCCGACTTAATGACTCATATAACTCATTTCCCTCCTAGTCGCTTCTTTTACTTCAGAAACGTTCTGTCTAATTCTTCCTGCAGCGATAACCGTTATGTAACTTAAGCATATACCAGAGAACTGGCACGCTTTTGCACATAAGACTTATATGGTTCATATCATACGCGATAAGTGAATAAGCATGGCCTTTTTGCCGCAACATCCAAAAATTTCATATAGTTGAGAGTTCTTATGATACGCTTTTAGGATCTGGAAGCGTATACTAGACAACTAAGGGACCGTTAAATCATAGAAGCTCCAGCGCCGGAAAAGATAAAATAAACTCAAAGTTAGATATCCAATTACGCGAAAGAAGGAATAAAATTTATCAAGTACCTAAATTACCACAAAGCCAGCAAATGCACAAATAGAAAGAAATAAACGCATTCACTATTAACAAATGATACAATTTCACAGGTCGAATATTTTAATAAGAATGTTATTATGAATATCATGCATCATTTCTTCTTAAACCACTTTGGAGCCGTACTTGCTTTGAAAGACGGTCGAGTAGCACCATGCGGAAGTGTGCTGGACATTCTGGTTGTAGAGCTGCTCACAGTACTGTCATTTGCCACCACAGCTGTGAATGGCTTGAATACGGTATTCTGCGAAAGCCTGGAATTGAATTTTTGAAAATAAGATACACAATAGTTACTGCGATGCAATACATACAAATAATACCATTTCATATCTGAATGCATCAAACAACTCCCTTGTTAAGTGGGACTCATATTGGTAGCGCGTGGTCGAACGCGCCCTGTAATACAGATGCCCACGCCACAGTCCCATCAAATCCTTCATCTCTCCTGGGTCGGCAAGTTGGTACTAGACTTGTCCAAGAGGATAGCAGCACTGGCTCGATACATTGGCAGGCCATCGCGTGTCACCATAAAGGCCAGATATGCATTCGATCACCTCCAACGATAATTAATGAAGCCGAATGCATAGCGCATCCCAAAGAGGGTGATCAACGCCGAGAGCTTTATCCTTTCATTTTTATCTATGAAAAATAATTAAGCTCTTGGTGTTATACTTTTTATTTTCTGCCTATTATAATTTCGCGGCAGGGTACTAAGCGAAATACAACCACAACGTTGCTGAGATATTTGCAAAACTCTGGACCGCAGGTGTCTATGGTGGGGAACGAACGCGCTATTGGCCTTTCCGGGGAGTAACACGTTCACCACTACACCACGTTGTGGTTGTATTTCGCTTAGTACCCTGCCGCGAAATTGTAGTAGGCAGAAAACAAAAAGGTATAACATTGTAATTTCAACTACAGCTCAGCTTAACTGGGTTCTATGCCGATTTGGGCGCCCCAGATCAATCCCGCTGACGGGTGATTGCTGTGGCAAGGATCGATAGAAATAGCTGAGAGACATGCGAAACGAAGGACCCGCATGGTGTGGTGGTGAACGCGTTACTCCCCGGAAAGGACAATAGCGCGTTCGTTCCCCACCATAGACACCTGCGGTCCAGAGTTTTGCAAATATCTCAGCAACGTCTAAGCTCTTGGTGTTGGACAATCCTTGGGGTATGCACCATGCATTCGACTTCACCAAGCATCATTGGAGGTGAATGGATGCATATCTGGCCTGTACACTGACACGCGGTGGCGTGCCGATGTATCGAGCCAGTGCTAATATCCTCCGAGGACAAGTCTGGTACCAATGTGTCGACTCCAGAGGGATAGAAGGCTTGATGGACTATGGATGCAGGGATCCGTCCCATGTGTGTGCCACAGGGCGACCACTGCGACACACGCGTCTTTTTTATCACTTTATTTTTATAGATACTGATGAGGAATTACACTTCTTTGAGACAGTTCATGGACAGCTAACTTTAACCTGTCACTGCAAGGATTATTCGTAATCGCTCTAGTGAGTGTCACTCCCCAGGCAGCAAAAAATCTCATTAGTAAAGAGTAGGACTAAACGTGATAGATTTGATAAACCACCACATTTAAAAATGTCTGATAGGCATCTAGGTATAGTCGTTCCTCTTATCATTAATCTTGAAGACAACACGGATCAGAAAAAATGAAACAGCAGCGAGACACAGTTTTTTGTAACACAGAGTACACCAACCATTCAGAACACAAATTATCAGCTTCCTTGTGATTGCACTCTTGCAAGGATCCAATGCATACCGATTCTAAAATTACTAGATATTGAAGGGTCACAAAATATTCATTCTTAAGGAAATAGCTTGATATTTCTATTGACAAAACCCAATAATCACCGAAGTTGACAGAAGGATCAGCGAACTTGATGAACACGGTTGACTTAGGTGCGACGTCTGCGTCAACAAAATTTGTAGTGTTAGAGTCCTCCAATTTATGATTGAGAGCCAGCTTTAAGGAAAAAGCTGCACTACAAGACAATATACCGCGAACCCATTCGAACAGATGAGAAACTGAAACAGAAAAAGTGAGATGAACAGATATCAACTGTCGCTGACATAACAACTTGTCAACAAATTGTTTTTTTTTTTATTAAAAACACAAATAATCACTAGGCTCTGCACTCTGAAACTGTGCCTGAACAATTCTCCCGGTTCCAGTGGGAATCCTGACGACAGTGTGACGATAGGCCAGCAACTTATGTTCTCGGTTCTTCTGTCTCACATACTCCTTTGACACCAAAGCACGATTTTCAGTCATACTCCTAAAGCGGTCATGTTTAAAACTATGAAACTTAAACATACAGTAGCCAGCATACAGCTTATTACATAGTGCATAACACTCCTTCACTTGAGAAATCATATTCAGAGAACTCACACTTGATCACGAAGTTGCTTTAGCTGAGCTCTGACGTCCTCTATGTCAATCTCAAAAAACTCGTCACTGATTTCTTCACTCCTCAAAGTGGAGTCTTCAGACGTCCTTAAAACACTAGTTAACGGAAATACGCCAATACTTTTCGTTGGTGTAAATATTCTTCTTGTTTTTGGTGGATGGCGACACCAATTTACCGTCTAGAGGTGGCTGTGAACCAAAACATAGGATTATTAGACTGGCCGATGGATGGATTCAGCTTAAGCACAATGAAAGCGCACATGTCTCTTAGCTCGACATAAGCTCGTAGCACTCTACTGTTTCTATGCATACGTCTTCCCCATGAAATCTTGAACACGTTGCTTATAAGATACTGAAATCCCTGAAGAGCAGTTATAAATACACGAATTCCTCTCACTTGGAAGCCTCAGCAAGAATTAAGATACTTTTTCTAATAATTAAAAGCTCTAGAATTTCCACGAGTTGGAGCTCATGGAAAGATATGGAAAGTCACCTAATAGGGTGAGATATATATTTGTGTTCTTATAAACTGATCTTCTTAAGCTGACGCGAGGTTGGTACAGATCTTCGTTGTTGTTGTCGTTGTTTTTGATGTTATTGATCGATGGCTGACGTATCGGCGACTTCGCCTCCTTCAGAGCCTGGACGTATTTAATATTAGAATATTTTATTATTCGGTAGAAAAGAAAGATTAAAGTGTTAATGAAGATCGAACTTTCAAACAGACGCCATATTGAACCGAAAGGCCTCTCACCGTGATGTTACGTGCGGGACTGGCCCACAGTAGTTCACGTGGAGTGGCGAGCAAGACACACCCCGGGGTCAAAATATCATCTTGAAATAGGGCGCCAGTTCACGCGTGGTAGTGAGGCATTCGTCTTTCCGTTTCATCTTTCGATTTTTGAAAGTTATCCAAAACGCCTCAAGAGTTTCGCGCGTTGATGTTTTTGATTCCCGCGCTAGGATCCGCACATTCACTTCAAAATCATCACCGTTTCGCTTTTGTGCCCTATGCATACCTAGAGGGGTGTTTGAGCGGATCTTTATCTTTAGGTGGTCCGGAAAATATTTTGCACAAATTAGAGGGTTGGCGATGGGGCAGCGTTTAGCACCAAGCCTTGCCATCGCTTTCATGTCTAAGGTGGAAGCTCCAGTTCTCGATCACCGGCTCTTACTCTACTGTCGATACGTAGACGACTGCTTCATCGTCTGTTGCAGATAAGAACAGATGGATGAGCGCTTTGAATTATTAAACCGACAGTCAAAGTATATAAAAGTTACACGAGAAAAACCTACCGAGAACTGGCTTCTGAACTGGTAGACCACTTTGTGTCCGCATAAAAGAACATCTATATGGAAAAACTAAAATCCGTTTAAACACCCCTCTAGGTACGCATAGGGCACAAAAGCACAACGGCGATGATTTTGAAGTGACTGTGCGGATCCTAGCGCAGGAATCAAAAACAGCAACGCGCAAAACTCTTGAGGGGTTTTGGATAAATTTCAAAAATCCAAAGATGAACCGGAAAGACGAATGCCTCACTATCATGTGTGACCTGGCGCCCTACTTGAAAATGATATTTTGACCCCGGGGTGTGTCTTGCTCGCGACTCCACGAAAACAACGCGTAGGCCAGTTCCGCACGTAACATCACGGTGAGTGGCCTTTCGATTCACTATGACGTCTATTTAAAAGTTTGATCTTCATTAACACTTTAACCTTTCTTTTCTACCGAATAATAAAAATATTCCAATATTAAATACGTCCAGGCTCTGATGAAGGCAAAGTCGCCGAAACGTCAGCCATCGATCAATAACATCAAAAACAAGGACAACAACAACGAAGATCTGTACCAACCTCATGTCAGCTTAAGAAGATCAGTTTATAAAATCATATAAATAAATATATCAACTATCTATGCCGAAGTTTATAGAAAGTCGGTCCTTCGAGTTATTAAGGGTGGGATATACTTCAATTATTAACACATAATGCCCTGGCCGCATAGTATACCATGCGGTTAATGCGAAATTAATGGCTAGTTTCAACATTGTACCAAATTACCTCAGATCAGACGGGCACGTGCAGCGTAGTGGTTAGAGGCACCCTGCAATGCACATGGGTTCGATACCGCACCCCAAGCTCATCAAGGCTTCCATCCCTCCGGAGTCGGTAAATTGGTACCACACCTGTATAGGAGGATAGGCCACCGCGAGTCAGTGTTTAGAAAAAAAGTATTCAACCACCTCCAAAACAATGTTTGATGAATTTTAATGCATGGTATACCCCTTAGTGATTGATTATCGCCGAAAGCTTTATCCTTTATTTATCTCAGGTGATATTACACCTCTTCAGTTCAACTAGAAACCACTAGAACCAATAGATATATGCCTGCAAGATACGAGTTACCTTAATTTAAAAAGATGAAATTGTTAGTTTCTGGAGCCCGCAACATATATTTCCTCCACTTTATTTTTTCCGCGCTCATAATTCGAACACAAAAACCACTAAACCGGCGTTTCCGATCTTCGTCCAAAAGGACATTATGGTGTTTGCCGATGGATCATTTATGTTTGCAGTTGCCGTGGACGTATTGGAAATTTTAAAAACTAGCTGGTAGTTAAACTGAACTAAAAAACAAACTTATACTAAATTTGAAGGGACGCCGTATCAAATTTGTATGCAAGATGAGTTAGATACACCAATCAATCTCTGCTACAACTCTATAAAGTTTTAAACTGTTGAAAGGCTCGTGATCAAAAAGTGCTCACCGTCTGTTGTAAAAAATCGCTTTCGGTGATACGTGTTAATCACATCGTGAAACAGATTAATCTAAAACGTAGATTTGGGTAAGCAAAGAAGATAACGTTTATCATTGAAGAACCCAGGATAGACATGATCTTCTATATACATCAGCATGGTTTTTCAATTTCAATCTTAGTAGTACGTGTCCAAACGCAAAACATCACTGTACTGCCTTACTGGTTTCAATGCATGCCTGATCAAAAACGATCGCGTAATTTTAAACAAACATGTTTCGGCTGATGGTGAATTTATTACTTAGAACAAAAATGGTGACAATCTATAGACCTTTGGCAGGAAAATGAAAGCTTTATTCTCAACAAAAAATTCAGAGTGATCCACATAAACATTCTTTCCCGTCTTCTATGGACACCCGCATTTCGAACGCCAAAGCGACTAGTGTCTTGATTTAAAAGAAAAAAGCAGTTATATCTCTCAATGCGCCATTGCGTTAGTTTGAGCCGCCTGCCCCAGAACCTTAGTTACTTGGATACTTAGACGGCCCGTCCTCACTGGTTGTGCGGGTCCCAGTATGTTCTCCATTTTTCGGAGTTCTGCCGGCTTAGCCACTGTGTTTCCCTTGAATCCCGACGTCACCCTGGCCAAAGCCTCCCCAGGTTGTCACCACCACAAGCAACCGCCGCCTTTGTGGATCAGAGGGAGATTTGCCGCCATGTGAGTAGTTTGATACCAGGACGGTGGTAAATCCTGGTATTGGTTTACTCTTATTTGGACCTCCTAATGGAAACGCCGGACTCCTTCTCAGCTTGGGAGACACTGTTGACGTGGAGAACCAACCCGCTTCAAATCACAGCCCGACACCCAGGAACACCTCCCAGCCACGATGAGGCGGCAAACCGTCGGGAGGAATCCCAAAACATTTAAAAGTATAAAGGATAGAAAAGAAAGAATAATGAAGAAAATAATGCTCTCGCTATTGACCAATCCCTGAGGGATGCGCTATGCATTTGAATTCATTACGCATCGTTTGAGATGACTGAATGAATATCTGGCCTTTACGATAAATCGCTATGGCCTACCGATGTATCGACCCTGTGCTGCTATCCTCCCAGACAAGTCTGATACCAATTTGCTGAGCCTGCAGTGATGCTCGCTGAGCCTAGGGCGCTAGGATCGATCCCATGTGTACTACAGGGCGACTCACACCACTGCGCTACCCGCCCCTTTTAAAAGCATAGAAAAACAAATTTTGTTTGCATCCTTTTGCAAATTTCGAACCCAAACCAGTTTAGAACGAGGTTAACATTCTGGTAGGGTAATATTTACCTACATCTTTGCGGTACTAGTTCCAAGCCTGCCTTCATTTTTAAGCATTTCAGTTATTTTGAAATTATCGACAGTTGTCGATAGCTTAGCTTCGCCAAAAAAATGAGAAATTTAAGTGTTGCCCAACACTGGTGTTAATGAAAGAAGCATACGAAACAATATCATACCACATAATACACTTGAACATGCCATTTAAATAATAAGTGAACCCACCGGTGCTGAAATATTACTGCCCGTCGGTCGCACGGCATAACCAAAGCAAGAGGTCCTACGACACTCGTGTTTTCTTCCTTTAAAAAGCTTTTTTCCACAACGCAAAGGAAAGCTCGGAAACATAAGATATACCTCCATCAAGGAATCTGTGATCTCAGGCGTATGTGAGGGTGAGTTTCGACAAACACTGACGGAAGTACTTACAGAGGCATAGTGATGTGCATAATCATGTAGACTATTAGGATGCGAATCCATCTATGATGTAAAAGATTTAACTTCGAAAAAAAAAAACTTCTAGCAAAAGCTGGAGCGGATGTCAGCGATGGTGCTCAAGACTGAAAAAACTACCACAAAGGATATCTTTTATTTTCCATTACCGTAAAAGTTTGCACTTTACGGGTGAAGCTGTTCGGATTATTAAGACCATCATAACATAAAACTGGTCGCCTTTTGAACCCGGATCAACAGTAAAAGCAGTTCTTCCTCAAAGTTCTGCGAAAATGGACCACAATATTTGCCACCCTTAGCAATAGCCCACAACTTACAGCTAACTCAATTTCTTCTAACTTTTTCCTCCCATCGTTTTCTGCCTTCTTATGAGCATACTCTCTGAGAAGTGCTTCCTTTTCAGCTACTTCAGAGGCAATCCGAGCACTGATTTCATCCATTTGCTCCTTTGTGAGAACCACTCTTTGGTATCTTAAAAAGTCAACTGTTTAAAAAATTTGAGAACTATCATTTCATTACTACTACTGAAGAGTTTTCTTAAAGGAATCCCTCACTGCACCTAATCAAGCATTTCTTTCCCGATGAAATACCGATAGATAAAAGCGTAGTTCTTTGTAATTCGTCGTGACCTGCGTACTAAAATACTGCTAATAAAACTCGATAAAGGACCATAAAAGAAAGTTGTAGTGCTACGTACAGTACCTGACGATTCATATAACTACAACTAGGAACAGAGCCGTTGTTGCATAAAAGTAGATCCTCACCCAAAATTTGGGAAAAACACTCCAGTATTGAAAATAGTGTCAGTGTCACAGGGAATTCACGCTGTACGCGTGATCCATTTGGCACATGAAATGTCATATATGTACCACATATACACAACGACACACATTTCCTCCAATTCATTAAGTTTAGTGACAATAATTATTCTTACGCAACACGAAACGATAAGCAGCTAACCCTAAATTTTAATAGTTCTCGATATCCTTGTTGAGCAAACACGAGGTGTAACTTTATTCTTTATTCCGCTAAAGCTTAGAGAATAAAGTTACACCTCGTGTTTGCTCAACAAGGATATCGAGAACTATTTGATCAATGTCGAGGTTAATACAAAGTCGGTTGTGGGAATTACTACAAGATGTACCACCTAAATTTTAAAGCGGGGCTTCAAGAAATACCTGCAATGCAATTATAGCCATCCCATTGATTTCTGTATTAGTCGCTGGAACCATCTCGAGAGTAGCGTTATTTGGTAATCCACTTAGTCTAAATTTGTTGATGACACAAATCGAAAAAAAATGAGCTTTTAGCACAAATGAGCCAAAAACTACATACAACGAGATACCAACCACTATCCTAACGTTCATTGCTATGTAATGATTAACCATGGTCTTTTTTATGTACTTCAGGGTGCTGCTCCTCCATGTTCACTTAGATTGAGGAACTTCTTGGTAACAAGTTTCAAGCAAAATCTCTAGTCCCTGTGGTATCTTATTTGGACCAATACAGAGCAACCTATTTTGAAAAATATTTTATTACAAAATATCAGGATTCTTAATAACTAGAAAGACCACTGACGCGAGGTACAGATCTTCGTTGTCGTTGTTTTTGATGTTGTTGGTCGATGGTTGATGTTTCGGCGACTTCGCCTTCCTCAGAGCAGTGATGTTACGTGTGGGACTCCCACAGGATCAGGATAAATATATCAGGATTCTTCTCACTCAGCGTTTAGTGGAAGGGAAGAGGAGAACCCTACGAGCGATCTCTGCGTACATCGGAAGCGGTAAAATGGCACCGTTTCAAAAATGTGATGATATTCGTGGATTGTGATCGGCCGGAGCCCACTGAAGGATTCTGATGAAAAAGGAAAACTAATGGAGTTCTTTAGTTTCATCCTGAGTTACTCGATGTTTACGGGACTAACGATATTTCATCAAAAATCCTAATATTAAAATTGAATTTGGTCTGAACACCGTTAACGAGGGTAAGCGAGCAACAATGGTTCGAAAAATTTTGTTATTAGGATGAGTACTTTGAAAACGAGAAAAGTCGACTAACGGCAATTTGAAGACGTTCACTAAAACTAATTTTTATATAATGGTCCAAGAGATTGAGGATGAACAAGCCATACGTAGCACAACTATAACGGAATAATCCAACAGAACTTAAAATTCAAAAAGCTCGGTTGATGGTTGTGAGACAAGAGCCGAATGAAAAGTAAAGATCATCGTTATAAATGCCTGTGATGCGGCAGAAAAAGGATTTCGCCAACAATCGATGACGCTTTACACGACACTACACGAAGAAGAAGCATTGACATACTTCCAGAACCCAATTTTGCGTCAAAAAAATTCGTAATCGCTTTCTTGAAATCTGTAGACTGGATTATCCGTTATAAAGGATGGAGGATAAAGGCCCTGACGTCGATCAATCCCTTAGAGATGCACCATGCATTCGACTTCATTAAACATCGTTGGTGATTTAATGCATATCTGGACTTTATAATGACTCGCGGTGGCCTACTGATGTATCGATCTAGTGCTACTATCCTCTCAGACAGGTATGGTACCAATTTGCCGACCCCGGAGGCACGGAGAGCTTGGTGAGCCTGGGGTGCAGGGATCGAAGCCCTGTGCACTTCAGGACGCCTCCGACCACTGCTCTATACGCGCTCTTCTTTAAATTCTTACATGACGTAGTAAAATCTTAAACTCGGTTTCAGTGCAGTTGGTCTACGCCTTAAGTCCCCCATTAGCGGTGTACTACGTATCCCTTCTAATTTCCGATACACTACACGCATCGATATGCATAATCCCATTAAAGAACTGCATTTTCACAGTAATAAAACGATAAATGAAGACAAAAATCAACAAAAATCATTTAATCATTCTTCTGCTCCTGAAAACTAGATTTAAAAAACTAGAGTACCGGAAAGTCAGTGAGAGATCCAAGCGGCGTTTCTGATTTACCAATTGATGTCTATCTACATCAAGTCCGCTCTTAAGACAAGCTTCTTCTAGAATCTAGAAAATTTAATATTTATCTACGTCGAAAAATATATAGAGGATCTGTTAAATGCACTAAGGCTTTTAAACTAAACATTGAAATCTACCTACCTGACTGAGCAGTTTTCCTGGTGTTACTTTAACACAACAACGTCTCCCATTCGGACACAAAACTGTCACACTCATTATATCAGGATATATATGAGCGAACTGTAAGGTAACAGAAGGTCCGTTTAATAAGGCTGTCGTCGTCTCTTAGAGGTATACTGCTGGAAATGCAAGCTTTTCAAATAGAAAAGAAAAGAATATATGGGATACCAATCAGAATTTCTATGAAGTTGTGAAGCTACTTACCTGGATAATTGGACGGCTCATCCTCATTGGTTGTGCGGGCCACAGCATAGCCTTCATTGTTCGGAGCTTTGGTAGTTCAACCATTGTGTCTCCGTGGTGTAGCGAGGACAACCAGGCCAGTCTGCCCCAGGTCGTCACCACAACATGCAATCACCGTCTTTGTGGATCAGAGGTAGATTTAAAACCTTGCGACTAGTCCCGTCCTGGCATCCATCCTGGACTGCTGCTACGACTTGATATCAGAACGGTGGTGGATCCTGGTAATTACTAGTTAACATAAGACCAACCTTTAAGTTCGATGAATCTGTTCACCCTTTTCGTCTGTGGTTTCGTGAAAAAATTTAAACGCTCAAAAACGTGGTAACCTTAAGCGGCAACTTCTAGCTCTAGAAGTTTTAGCGCGATAATCATTGGAAATTAGATGAAAGGAGGTGTTATAAGCATAAGTATAAGCGCTATACAACTTAAGAGTGGGTAAGGAAGAGCTCTCCTTAAAAAGCCAAGTATACCCAAGAGATTTTTTGGCAGTGTGGTTGGTAGTCCCACTCCTTCTTCCTCCCCTTTGCATTGACAAAACTATCCCCTTTCAAGAAAACTATTGTAAATCAACGTGTCAAAATCCTAGGATAATGGCTTGACATTACCTATGTATAACGGTTCATTATGAGCAAAATTCATAACTCGTCTAAAAACAGCAAAGAACTCTATTTCAATGAAATGTTAGTTCTCCTTCCCAACAGTTTACCGCCTCATCGTGGCTGGGAGGTATTCCTGAGTGTCGTTCTACGAAGTACAGCGGGTGGTTGATCTTCCCAGCAGCGTCTCCTTAACTTGAGGAGTACAGCGTTTCCATCATGAAGCCTAGCTAAAAACAAACCAACACCTGAATCCACCACCGTTCGAGTATCAAACTAGTCGCAAGGTGGAGAATCTCCCTATGATTCACACGGGCGGCGACTGCCTGTGATAGTAACGACATGGAGCAGACTTTGGCTCGACTTGCCTCGGGACTGTAGAGAACCACAATGGCTAAGCCAGCAAAACTTCGGTAAAAAGTGGAAATTATAGTGGGGCTCGCATAATCAGTGAAGACGGGCTATCCAAGTATCCAAATAAGTTAGTTTCTCAGTGTGAAAAGACACTTAACTTGTGTGAGATCACTGCTACATTCGTTCGATAAATTTAAACACTTATCCTCATATTCAATTATAACTTACTTAAAAATTACGGACTACTGAAGGAACGCAGACTGTACTTCATGATAGTTGGTCTTTCTAATGCTGTGAATACGACAAAAACTTTGGTACAGATAACACCCAGACCTGCAGCCTTTTTTCACCAAAGGATTGCGAATCGTACTTGACAAGACATTCCAGAACAGCATTTTTAGCTCCTATGATCTTCTAGCGGTTAGTGACAGGATTCCACGGGATGTCAAACGTACTGCAGGAGGACCACCGACCCGATTATCGCATTTCTTCACCAAAAGCCTAGAAGAAAGGTGTGATGGTCAACGAGTCCCTATAGCGAGTACAACCCACTGGGATACTCGCATGCGACAGGGAAAACGGAACATTTACAAGCGCCCGCTCCAGTCACTCGACGATTAAAGGGACGACAGGTGAAACGAGTGATGATCTTCTTCATTTCAAAGATAAAGTCGTATGGTCGAAACGATATGAATAGTAACCACAATGATGGTGAGCTATTCGCAGGACTCCTGTCTGCTAGTGTACGTGGTGGGGATTGAACCCGATATTGCCTTTTTTGGAGGCTAACGTGTTCACCACCACACCAAGCGGGTCCTCCGTTTCGCCTTTCTCTCAGCCAGGTATGAATTTAAACGTGCAATAGATGACTGTAGTACGATGCATGGCTTAGCGAAAATCTTCGCAAAGACCTGGTCCGTACCGAAAAAGTTGAATTTTTTGAGCTTGTTCGGTAATGTTTTTTAAAAGTAACCGGATGATAAAGCGATCTGAGGACCTACGAACTCTAGAGAAGCAACTAATACATAGCTGAACACATTATAAAGAGAGATTTCGTCGACTGAGGAAATAAAAAACAAGTTATCTTATTCTCGCAAAAAAGATAGTAATGATTATAAGGGTCGTCCTTAGTCTAAAGCAATACACATCACCCGAATAGGTCACAATTGTGCGCTCCAATCGTGACCCAATCACCGCATGTCGTGCTCCAAGGTTGTTTTGCTACTTTATTTTACTTTTACTATTATTCTACTTTTTTTTCGAAACATGTAAGTAGAAAAAAAAAGAAAGGAAGAAGAAGTAGGTATAAGGTACAAAACCCTATATTCTTCTAATTCCTTATGAATGCCGAGCTATTTGTGTATTTTCGTTCCTCTTTCTCTTTTTTCCGCCTGTCATGTAATGTGTAAACAAATGTCTATGCATCGCAGTTCCCATTTAAGAGAACCAAATTTGGCTATGCCTATCTCAATAAATATAAATAATGGCGCGTGTAGCGCAGTGGTCGGAGGCGCCTTACAATATATGTGGGATCGATCCCGCTCTTAAGGCTCACCAAGCTTTCCATCCCTCCGGTCGTTAAATTGGTACCACACCTATTTGGAAGGATAGCAGCACTGGATCGATACATCGGTAGGCCACCACGAGTCATTGTGAAAGCCATATGTGCATTTAATCACATCCAACGATGAATGGAGTAGGATGCATGGCTCATCCGTTAGAGGTAGATCAACCCGGAGAGCTTTATCCGTTTATCCTTTTTACTCTCATAGATATTTATTTGAGTAACGCAGGTATATTGTTGAACGCTGCTCCGTGATGAGGAACTGGGCAGCTCTTCCGTGGCGAGTCTGGCTAATATGTCTTGATCATGGCCCACTCTCTTTGCTGCTCAACTTTTCCCTTGTTCAGAATATACTCGCTTTACTTTCTTGGATTGTTGAGCTAACACGAGGTTAACAAAGATGTTTATTTGGCTAACGTTTCAAAGCTTTCGTCTTCGTCAGAGCCGATGATCCGAGTCGATGATCCACAGTTATGATGGTCCAGATCGAAAAGATGAAGAACTATGGACCATCAACTCGGATCATCGGCTGTGATGAAGACGAAGACGTCTAAACTTTATCTGAATAGAGATTAGTTATCAACTTCGTATAATCTTATCATAGAAAGAATATATATTGATTAGTTATGCTTAGGTTAAAGGGAAATCTGTCCTGAAATACTCTCTTTACAGCTCAAAAACTTCCGTAATTATAGTGAGTCCTGTTCAAAGTCAAATGGATTAGATGGAACACGGTCCTTCAACATCGCTAGGATTGAGTTTCAGAGAGGAAATTCTTCAGAAGCTCGAAGCAAGAAACGCCAGTATTCGACCATGGGCTTCAATCTTTAAGAATTGTCAGTTCTCCTTAATGTTTAACCCAGAGTGAAGAAAAACCGGTATTTTTTATCTGAATAAAATATTATACATTTTTAAAGATAGTCAAATCGCCGATGAGCTGGCAAAACTCAGGAAACGATTCGATCATCGGGACAGGACAAATAGTATAGGGTTAGTGAGGTTTTCTACCTTAATGTTGTACATCGAGTACAGGTAGGTAGTCGGGTGTATAGGTAGAAGGTTGATTTCTAGTTCTGACCTCTATTCCTTTCTTGTCCTTTCAAGGGTAGAGGTCACACTTATAACCTGGTAGTGTCAAAACTGTTTTGTTGTTTGTCCTTTCAGTTTTCATTCTCGGTTTGAGTAGTTCTGATGGTTTTCCCTAGGTTATGGAATGAGCCTATCGAATGTTTATAGTGTATCATTCATCTTCCCAGAACTTTCGAATTGCTCCACCTTGTCGTTCGTACGTAACTCTAGTCCAGATCATAGTTCAAATAACCCAAGTGATTTAGAGTTGCAAGTTTCTTGGTTAAGAGTGTTTTGCTTATGGCACAATCATCCTTGAAATCAGTTTCTAGCTCTTGTACGACTTCTTCGCCGTCAGAGGAATTGAAACAGTTGCGTGAAGAGCTGGCTGAAGTTTATAAACAGAAAAGTCGCAATGATCAGTCTCTAATAGAAGCCAATAAAAGATTAGATAAACATGATGCACTCCTTAGCACTGTAACAAAAGAGTAAGTTTTTTTCTCTTTTTTCTTTCAGTTTTCTCACTGTACTTTTATAATAAGTCGCAATCTGCACTATTGGCACAGTGGTCGGAGGTGCCCTGCTGTACACATGGGGTCGATCTTCGCGCCCAAGACTCACCAAAACCTCCATCCTTTCGGGGTCGGCAAATTGGCATCAGACTCGTCTGGGAAAATAGCAACACTGGTCCGATACATTGGTAGGCCACCGCAAGCCATTGTTAGTCAAGGCCAGATATGCATTCAATCACCTCCAAACGGCGCCTGGTGAGGTCGAATACATGGCGCATACCTCAGGGATTGATCAACACCGAGAGCTTTATCCTTTATTTCTTTTTATACATCTGCAGTCGTGGCTTACATGTGGTCTCAGGCGAGATAAGCTGATTCTGGAGAGCAAGAAGCTTTGTGCTCGCATCAGTGAATTGGAGTGTAGTCTGAAGAAAGCTAATGACGACAAGCAATCATTATACGATGAATGGATTGCCCTATCGGTAAAAGTGGTCTTATGGTTGGACTAAATTCATCACTTCATCGTCAGTCATTTGAGGCGTTACTAAAAACAAAAACGAACGAGCTGTTGCAACTACAAGAGGATCGTTTGGTGCTAATTAACAAAATTCGTGATCTCAATGAACAACATGCGAATCTTTTCAATACGGAAGTGGATTTACAGCAGGAGTAAGTTTCGAAGTAAATGATTTAGGTATCTTTGCAGTGAAGTTGCTGTTACTTAGTTCGGTTATTGTAGGCGTCAGCAACGTAAAATACGCGAGGAAATAGCCCGGGCATGCGAAGATACTTCCAAAGACGAGAAAATGTAATTTTCTTTATTATCGTTATTTTCCACTAGATAGTTGGCATCCCGTTACATCATGGAAGGTCAGTAGTTCAGACATAGGACATATTGTCACTCGCGTTAGAAAAGGATTACCGAAAGTTGTTCCATCACGTAGTTTTTTATTCATACGCCTTGTGATAACATTTTGTATCGAAGGTGCCATACACTTAATTCTTTTAGTATCCTTTTTCTAATCACAAAACTTTGTAGATCTTCTGCTCGAATTGTGAACTAATACTGTAGTAGTGTTTCTTTTATAGACACACGAGCTTATTGCAAACGAACTTTCCTACGGGAGACTCCGTTTTTGGTGATGTCATCCCGCAGGAGGTCGTATTCAGAGCTGTGGGTTTGAATGATTGTTATATGGGTTTTTCAACTTTCTAGTGAAAAAGTTTTCCACATATGAAGGAAAGGGTATAGTAAGTATGTTGGGAGTTAGTAGGGGGAACTTCGAAATTGGCCCGTGTAGCACAGTGGTTGGAGGGATCTTGCAACACACATGTCGATTCCCGCACCTCAGCCTCACCGTGCTTTCCAACCCTTCAGAGTCGGCAAATTGGTAGCAGACTTAGCTTGGAGGATAGCAGCAGTGGCTTGATGCATCGGTAGACCACCGCGAGTCATTGTAAAGGCCAGATATGCATTCAATCATCTCCAACGATGTTTAACGAAATTGAAGGCACGGCGCATGCCACGTAGACGGATCAGTGCCGAGAGCTTTTTTATCTTTTATCGTCAAAAAATGTGCCCGAAAAGACACTGCTGAAGGACAATTAATTTTGCCTTTAGCTATGTTGATTATCTGTACGTAAAACGGCTACAGAAACATCTGGAAAAGTTAATGGGGCGAGTGATGATTTCTTTGTTATGGTAAAGCAAAGGAGTTGTTTTCTGGTTCGTAATACGTCGATATTTACATTTTGATTGTTGTACTTTAGGAAGCGAACGACGGTGAAGTGTATGACATTTTGTGGTTATCAACAGATATATTCGCCAGTGGGGGAAGTGACAAAAGAGTGCGCTTGTGGAAAATTGATCAACGTGTAAGGCCAACTAAAACGTAGGTTGATGGAATGTATTATACAAAGTTGTCTCTTTTATCATAGCACAAGTTAAGAAACACCCTCGTTGGCTGCAATCATGCAGTGACACGCCTTGATTTCAATTTGGAATCACGACTTTTGCTCGGCGCGAGCAATGACCACGGTGTTCGTCTATGGAATGTGGACAACCAGAGACTTATGGTAGGAGTTAAATTTAAGATCGATTTTACGTTTCACGTCACTTGAGGCTATTAGTAGTATCATTTCGCCAACAATTGATCCATTAATATTTGCTTATGGATTAACATTAGTATATCTTTTTATTCCCTATTTGGCCGTGGGCGCGTGTAGCGCAGTGGTTGGAGGTGCCATGCTATACGTATGGGATCAATCTCTGCTCCCCAGGCTCATCAAGCTCTCCATCCGATCTCTCCGGGGTCGGTAAATTGGTACCAGCCTTGTCTGGGAGGATAGCAGCTCGATTCATCGGTAGGCCACCGCGAGTCATTGGAAAGGCCAGATATGTATTCAATCACCTCCAACGGTGCTTAATAAAGTCGAATGCCTGATGCATGTCAGAGGAATTGATCAACGCCGAAAGTGTTCTTAGCTTTTATCTTGTTCGTTGCGTCAGATAATCATTGAAAAAGTCAACTTTGTTTAGAAAAAGGAGTAGTTTCATATATAATGTTATCTCCTACAATATACTGTTGCATTATATAGTGTACTCAGTTCGTAAGAACTAGATCTTCTGAGTTTTTGGTCCATTTTAAGACTTCCTTCATGGGACATATGGATAAAGTGTCGTCTGCTCGATTTCTTTCATGTAGCCAGGTTGTGTCTGGGTCGCACGATCGAGTCATAAAGTTGTGGGACATAAGGGGTCAGCGATGTATGTCAATTTTCTCTGTTTTGTATATTTGCAGGTTTTCCATTGTTTTAGAAGACGGAATAAGAGACCTAAAAAATTTAGGTGTGCGTTCTGTTTTTCCTGGATCTACTATACTTGACATTGTAGGGATTAGAAAAGGTGTTGCCACGTTCACTTCAGGTATGCGTGGGCTAAGATTTCTACAAATTGATTTGTGCAGGAGATAGCTGATAATATTTCTTAATTTTGTTTGATAACGTAAAAGACCCATAAGATTACAAGATTGCTGAGATATTTGCAAAACTCTGGACCGCAGGTGTCTGCGGTGGGGAACGAACGCGCCATTGTCCTTTCCGGGGAGTAACGCGTTCACCACCACACCATGCGGGTCCTTTGTTTCGCCTGTCTCTCAGATAGTTCTATCCATCTGTGCCGTCAGCAATCACCCGTCAACGGGATTGGTCTGGGGAGCCCACATCGGCATTGAATCTAGTTAAGCTGAGGCTGTAGTTGAATTCACAATGGATACTTTTTTATTTTCTACTTTTTGTTATTTTTATGGCAGGGTATTAAACGAGACCCATAAGATTGCTTAGTTCTTTTAGGTTTTGAGATCCTGCTACTTTGTGTAAAGACACAGGAAGTACAATGCAGTGCCATATTCAAACAAATAATGTTCTCGACATTCAGAATTCCGTTGTATATTGCTATCATTAGTTAAGGCCTTAGTGAACTATAGCAACTGAAGAAATATTCTGATCTTTTGCATGTCAATTTTCGGCAATATGCCCTTCTTTTCAGGACATTTTGACAGAAAACTTCGTTTTTGGGATTCAAGAAACCAAGAACCTATTCATACAATGGACATGGCAGGAAAAATAACTTCTCTGGACTTGTCATCGGGTTAGATGTTTTTAATCGAACGTTCTACTTATCTCATCATTGATATTTTTGTTACAGACGATATACATCTCTTATGCTCTACACGGGACGATACTTTGTCAATAATTGATGTTCGTAAGTATCAAACTGTGCATATATACAGGTTAGTAACTGTGCTAATTATACATGTGTTTCCAGTTTTTGAATCTCTGAGACTTATATATTCGTGGCTTAATTTTTGGAAGATTTCACTTTAAATCCTTTATAAATTTATGTTGTATATTTTAGCGCCGAGCAATACCGGACGTCAAGTGATGTCTCTCGCTGTGTGCTTTCGCCAGGAATGGAGTACTGTGCTGCTGGGTACGCTATTTTCCAATAACTTACTAATTTAGGCTGGCATGGTTTGAACTATGAATTATTTGTCACCTGTCTAGTATCAACTTGCTTTCTTCTGTCACCATCTTATGGGAGTGAGTAGCGCAGTGGTAATGATGCGGTTCCTCGCAAGCACACTTCTGGTTCGATCTCGCATTGGTCTTACTAAGTCTTTCATCATTCAAGGGTCACCATAAAGTACCAGACTTGTTTCGGCTGAAATTACTCTCTTAAATTTACGGTGGAAAGCACTGCCGTAGTAGTCGCAGGAGTTGAGTGAGGATCGACGTAACCAGTATTCAACGACATTCATAAAGAGGATGGCAATGGTCGATCAGCAGCAGTACCTACGCGTGAAGAGTTCGAAGAACTTCCTTGCTAACGGAGAAAACGAATTGAATGAAAGAAGTGTTGAGATCCCAACGGTAGAGGTGAAAATGATAAGATGAAGATGGGTCATCTATTCAACCAACAGATGCTGATAAGTCCAGCCTACACACTCTTTTCACCGGTTGAATTATTGAATACGACTAGTTAAGAAGAAGCTGCATTTATTAACATTTCATTCGAAATTTTTGCACTGTTCACTTTTCATCCTTCGATTGTCGATTTCAGTGGACGTTGGTTATTTCCCTATTATTTCTGGTTAAATTTCCATATTTCGTCTCAGGAAATATGCTTTGGTGTAGACGTTGCAATTTGGTTTGTCTCATCTTTATCAAATGATCGGCCGACTGATGACAGGATTCATAGTCAGTGAAAAGTCTCTGTAGTACTGGAATAGACTCGCTAGGCCAAATTTTTTTGCTTATTCCATGAAGGCAGGAACTGGCTAGGATTAATACCTGAGATTTCTATAGAGTAGCTATCCGGAGCCACATATCGGCTCATTGGTCTCTGTACATGACGAATGCAAAACAGTAAATGAGTGGAAGAAATAGTAGAACCCATACACCAAGTGAAAGTTGGGCATCTGAGTATCTACGTCATGCAGTACATTTTGTTAATTTGTAGTGTAGCATTTTCAAGACTATATATGGAAGTTAACACTTATTTTCCGCTTCTAAAGAGAATACATTCTCAAAAATCGGGAACGATAACGACTATCGAGACAATGATGTCTGATGAAAGCTATGATCTATTACTACGAACACTTAATTTTACTGATAAAGTAACGTTTCCAGCTCATCAGATGGCCACGTGTTTGTTTGGAATGTTCAGTCCACCAAACTGGAAAAAGTTCTCCATAAAGGAGGGCATGAGTACGCTTTTTTTTTACAATGTTTCTTCAGTGATTTTGACTCCTTGAATTTTTCCTCTTTTAGGCATGCTATACTCTCTCTGAGTTGGAATCCTAGCGGCCACGGTTTACTAAGCGCTGATAAACAAAAAATTGTATGTTTTTGGAAATAAATAGAAAAAAATTCTACGTACACATGGTCAATGACGGATCGTGAGCAGAGTAATGTAAATAGATTTAATATTATTTGATGAAAACCCTTCTCCAAATGCATAATTGCAGGCGCATACCAGTTCTGCACTTAAGGTGCATGTAACAAGACATGATTGTTACATGAGCCCTGTAAAACAGTATAATTTTCGCTAGTTTCAACAAACACCGAAGAGGCAACAAACTTCACCTCACTCTGCAGCGTAGAAATTCCTAGCGTACTAGTTTGGGAGTAGAAAAATTCATCTATTCATGGACAAGAGGTAAAAGGATGCAAAGAGGATAAACAAAGCGTATCTGAGTGATTAATAAACGAGGTTAATAAACGCCCAATTCCTAATTTTTTTCCATCTTCCGCATTTATACCTATTGCTTCAAGCATGGCAACATTCAAATAATCGACTTTCTATAGGTCTCTGCATAAATCTTCGATGTGTCCATTGATATGTCCTTATTAACAAATTCTGTTGAGCCGATACAAGGTTCGGTATAAGTTCTTTTTGCTGTTCATTTTATTGTTCTCGTTGTTACTGCTGGTCGACGGCTGACGCTTCGGCGATACCGCCTTCAACGCCAAGCAGTTACGAGTAGAAATGAGTGCACAAATATTTGACCACAGCAGAGACACTGTTTTGTGTACGATTTCAGAGTGAAAACCCACTAACTCTTCGTCTCGGTATCCGCAAATCTAGCAATTTTTCCTATTGCCAAGTTGTCAGTACCTCGATAGCTCAGTCGAGAGAGCGTTAGACAGATGATTTAAAGGTCGCCAGTTGGATACTGCTTCGGGACAAGGCCTTGTTCACAGCAAAACACGGTTTTGTGTACGGTTTGAGGGTGGAAACCCACTCACTGTTCGTCTCGGTATACGCAAATTTATCAGTATTCTTCCGATTTCGCACTTCTGAGTGCCGTGATAGCTCAGTTGGGAGAGAGTTAAGCTGAAGATCTAAACGTCACCAGTTCGCTCCTGGTTCGGAGCAATGTTTTGGCTAGAGCAAGGGCGAGTCTTCGGTACGAGTTAATGTGGAAATCTACTATTCACCTCTATATTCGCAATTCATGCAGTGTTCCTGCGATTGGAATGTTGTGAGTGCTTCGATTGCTCAGTTAGGAGACCGTTAGACTGAATAACTAAATGTTTAACTCATTGAATAGACGCTGTTTAGTGTACGGTTTTCGAGTGGAATCCCACTTAATGTTCGTCTCAGTATCGGCAAATCTGGCAATATTTCTCCTATTCCCAATTTCACAGTGCCTCGATCGCTCAGTTGGGAGAGCGCTAGACTGAAGATCAAAAGGTCACCAGTTCAATCCTGGTTCGGGGCAACGTTCTGCCAAGAGCTAAGATGCGCCTTCTGTAGGGGTTAATGTGGAAATCTAATATTCACCTCTATATTCAAAATTCTGGCAGTATTCTTGCGATTGGCAAGTTGTGAGCGCTTTGATAGCTCAGTTGGGAGAGCGCCAGACTGAATAACTAAATGTTACACTCACATAAGGGACTCGGATTTGTGTATGGTTTCCGAGTGGAAACCCACACAATGTTCGTCTCGGTTATCCGCAATTCTAGCAATATTTTTCCTATTCGCAATTGGACAGCGCCTCGACAGCTCAGTTGAGAGAGCGTTAGACTGAAGATTTAAAGGTCACCAGTTCGATCCTGGTTCTGAGCAACGTTTGCCTAGAACTAAGATAGGCCTTCGGTAGGCGTTAATGTGGAAATCTACTATTCATTTCTATATTCACAATTCTGGCAGTGTTCTTCCGATTGGCAAGTTGTGTGCGCTTTGATATCACAGGTGGGAGAGCGTTAGACTGAATAAGTAAATGTTTAACTCACTGAAGAGATGCCCATTTGTGTATGGTTTCCGAGTGGAAACCACACAATGTTCGTCTCGGTTATCCGCAATTCTGGCAATATTTTTTTTATTCGCAATTTGACAGTGCCTCGATAACTCAGTTGGGAGATCGTTGGACTGAAGTTCTAAAGGTCACCAATTCGATCCCAGTTCGGGGCAACGTTTTGCCCAGAACTAAGATGCGCCTTCGGTAGGCGTTAATGTGGAAATCTACTATTCACCTCTATATTCACAATTCTGGCGGTATTCTTCCGATTGGCAAGTTGTGGGCGCTTTGATATCTCAGGTGGGAGAGCGTTAGACTGAATAAGGAAATATTTAACTAGCAGAAGAGACGCGCATTTGTATATGGTTTCCGAGTGGAAAACCACACTTTGTTCGTCTCGGTTATCCGCAATTCTAGCAATATTTTTTCTATTCGCAATTTGACAGTGTCTCGACAGCTCAGTTGGGAGAGCGTTAGACTGAATGACTAAATGTTACACTCACAGAAGAGACGCGGATTTGTGTATGGTTTCCGAGTGGAAACCCACTCAATGTTCGTCTCGGAATCCGCAAATTTGGCAATATTCTTGCTATTCGCAATTTAATAGTATCT